ATAAATTATTGACCCATAGTTATACTGTTTCTCTGTATTATGTCTTGTAGAAGAGATTGAATTATCTTTTCACGTAGCAGAAAAATTTAAGAATTTCAGGAAAAGGAATTTTTAATCCTTTTGCATCCAGAAATACACCGGATAATCGAGTTTTAGTTTATTTAATTACGGTAAAGCGCTCGAGGGAGAGGATATCTTCGTGCCTAAAGAAACTGGCACATGCACACGTTACACATGGAGAAAACTACAAAAACTCCTATGCAGCCAGCCCGTTCACCGGGATTCGAGCCCCTACAATGAACTAGTGTTTAGCGATTTTATCGTTCGGCCACTGGTGGAGCGTCCGGATAATCGATAGTACACTGTATATAATTACAATTGCATGTGTTCAATGGTTTTAATTACACATTCACGAAAGCAATTTTATGATAAACTTTCATTTTGACACGAAATTTGAATCAGATTATAAACAAGTGACTATATTTGTAAAGCTGCCTAAAAATATTTCATATTCATTTACTGGAAATAAATTTAAGGAAATTGTAATTAAAACAGAACATATAGAAATAACATAGAAGCTTACAGCGTAAAGTATAATAATGCAATCAAGAACGTTTAGCTGAAGTGTTAAATTAATGCTCAGTTTTTTTTTTCAAAATACGTAAAAAATGCATAATATACTTATTTCATTTTGATAATCTATATATAATTTAGATTATATTTATCCAGTGTTTGCCTACTGACAGATTTGACGACAAAACAACGTGGTCAAAAAATAATACGCAACTTTAAAACATGAATCGGGCAATTTAAATAAAATATGCACATCATAATTCTAACCACGTATAAAGTTTGAATAAAAATGTAAGAAAATTTTATAAGTACCGTAATCCATTTGCGGTAATAAAAGAAATAGTCACATCACATACAGCATTGGCGATATTTCACTGCTCAAACAGACATATTATTGCGTTCTACGGGTTAGTGGATTTGGAGTAATTGATGATAACACTTAATGAAGGATCAAAGCACAATTTATTCGCCATTATTACACAGGACAGTTCAATGACAAGTTTACAATCGTATAAAAACTACGATAAACACGCTGAAACAATCGGCAACACAGCCTTCAGGCTATAACGCTGAAGATAGTTTCACGGCAAAGCACTAAAGTACAGCTACCTACTCGTTCAATAGCTTTCAAGCCAAACATCCGAACTTAAGACACTACTACTCTCTGAACTGAAGATGCTATTAGTCCACGTACCGGCAGAGTATATATAGCTTTTAACCTACCTTCGAGAATATTCCCTAAAAATCGCTAAGAATGCGTTCTAGAATGTTTTGCTCTACGGCATATTGCCAGCTTTGTCGCCAAGTAACGCCAGACCAGCACTTTTCGCGCCAAATGTGGAAACCCTGCTTTTTCTGCCACTTTTTGGCTAACCACATTCCGCTTTGTGGGAAAGCTACCTCACTGCTGCTGGATTTATATTTCGCAAATGATTCAGCGTATGTAAAATCTGTTTATTATTTATCAGTGATAGCTAAATGAAAGCACATATTTTCATATATAAATTTGAATCAGATTATAAACAAGCGACTATATTTGTAAAGCTGCCTAAAAATATTTCATATTCATTTACTGGAAATAAATTTAAGGAAATTGTAATTAAAACAGAACATATAGAAATAACATAGAAGCTTACAGCGTAAAGTATAATAATGCAATCAAGAACGTTTAGCTGAAGTGTTAAATTAATGCTCAGTTTTTTTTCAAAATACCTAAAAAATGCATAATATACTTATTTCATTTTGATAATCTATATATAATTTAGATTGTATTTATCCGGTGTTTGTCTACTGACAGATTTGACGACAAAACAACGTGGTCAAAAAATAATACGCAACTTTAAAACATGAATCGGGCAATTTAAATAAAATATGCACATCATAATTCTAACCACATATAAAGTTTGAATAACGACAAGATTACAATCGTAATCGTAATCGTTTGAATAACGACAAGAATACACGAATACTAATTTTTTTTTTAATATTGTGTAGAACAACATGAAGCTGAACTTAACTTACAAAAGCACATTTTAGGCCTGCAATCCATTCGTCTCGACGAGAATCAATTACCATTTTCGTCGTCTTTCTTTATTTCGAAAACGAAATGAAATATCTAAACTTATTTCTGGGGTAATGTGAATTTGTTATTTTGGCTCAGCATATCCATCCATGTTTTTCAAAATAAAGTCAGAAGCAAATGTGAGCAAGACAATTCTAAACCACCGACGACTAGCAAAATAGGTTTCACTGGAATGCAACATGACTGATGCGTTAGTCCTCCTCTATGGAGGAGAAATCCACACTAGGAATCTTCCTTATGTTACTCTGCATAACAGAAGCAGTACCTTCATGGAAATTCTTGAAACGTTTATTCATACTATACACAAGGAGATCAATGAAACGTCACTGCAACATCCCGTTCGCCCGGAAACTGTATCCAGTTTCCTGTATTCAACCACCTTATCTACTCGGTCACTTGCGGACTGATTGAAGTCGAAGAAATTTAGTTTGCGTAGTTAATTATTTTGTAAATGTGTAAATACTGTAGATTAAAAGAGAATGCATCGACATGGTGATTTGTTTACAACAGTGTATTCTATTTCACGTGATTATTTCAGAGAGAAGAATACTACTTCTCTAAAACATAACTTTGATCCTGATTTAAAATTTAAAATATCGAATAAAGAACGGTGAGTTTCTTTGTAATATGAAATATGAGTTTATATTTTCCAAGTTAAATTAAAATAAGTATTTGTTTAGCAAATAACGATACAATTATAAGATATTTGAATATGATACTTGCATAAGGAAGACTTGTGCTATATTTCTTGGAAACGGAAAACTTTATAATTTCAAATCTTGATTCACAAATTATTGGGATAAGATTACACGAATAGAAAAAATTATTCCGATGGGAGATATTAGAAGAAGAGAGGACTTGATTATACATAAAAGGTTTTCGCTGTGGTAATAAATAGCATTTTTCTGAAAAGATCAGGTTTGAACATTTTGGAGCCTTTCGCAATCAGTACAGATGATGTTTCATGCAGATTAGAAACCTAAATTTACTTTTAATTAGTTGAAAACGATTTAGCTGATGCCATAGGAGGTTTAAGAATTTGGGTAATGAAGTGTAACATGTTATTCGTTATGTACAGGCGAGGGGCGAAACCACAAGTCAGTTGACAAATCCCATGTTCGTGTAGCATAAGGGTTCTTTATCGAGCATACACGCTACTTATATGCATTGCAGAAATCTTCTGTGGTGAAGGAGGCTCATCTGTGAATAAAACGGAAGCCAGGAAGAAGTAGTACGCCATAATCTTATGCGGACAACATTGAATTTAATATAGATACTTTGAACAAATCGAAATTTTGCTGAGTGAATACCCTAAAAGCCTAATTTTCTCAGATGTGAGTATTTTAAAAATAAAAACAAATCAATGACTGGCAGTTGATATAGCTACAAGGAAAGTATAATAACCATTAAATGGGATAGTTAACTAATTATTTGATATGATTGTTCGCTATTACAAATTAAAGTACAATTTGCTGATTTAATTTTCTCAACCTGATGAAACGAAGCTATTGATGCTTTACACCACAGATTTGTAGATACATTAGGATTTTTGGAAGAAGGTAAGATGAAAAATGAGCAATCGCCTTCGCCGGGAATCGAACCACGGACCTCTGAAATACCAGCTCAGTGTGCTGACCACTACACCACGAATGCACGCTAGGAAGGCGAGAGAAATACCTTATAAATTCATAGACGTTAGTATTTTCCCGTATAAAATCGTAATCAGAAATAACCATAATAGGGAAATATCGGAAATCACAGACATTTATATACATTTTTCCTTCTTCGATGTCTTTTTTATTTACCTAGTCTTGCCCTTTTGTTGTAAAAAAAAAAAAAAAAAAAAAAAAAAAAAAAAAAAAAAACTATTTCGTTCCTCTTATCAAAAGTGTTTCATGAAAGATGATTAGAGAAATTCACAGTAGCGAAAAATATCCACAGAAATTCGATATAATTTTGTAAAATATTTTATTATGAAACAAGCCTGTCCTCATAATTTAAAAATATTTCCTACTATATGGGGGATAGTTTTAGGTATCAGTTTTCATCTGTCTTTACTCATGACAAAAGCACAAAGCTAGCAATTACGAAAAGGAAAGTAATATTATCTTGAGGAAATTTTCCGCGATGGTATTTCAATACCTTTTGTTTTAATTTTGTTATCTTTTAGAAAATTATCAAGCAAAATGAGATACTGTTAACCCTTGAATTAGATATAAAAAAATCCGGTTTACTCTTTCTCAGTTCTTTGCTATCGGTACTCTGCGTATTCTTTAGCTTTGTTAGACCACATTGCAAAGGAACATATTATAATATAACTGTAAGATTATTTAAGAAGTTAAAAGTCATCGTAAGAACCTTAAAAGAAATAAAATTAACAGGATAATTATTTCAAACCGATGATCAAACCTTTTCCTATTTTCAAACACATTTATAAGCATACAATTCAGCTGAAAGGAAGGTACATATAACATCCATTATTTCAGTCATAGATTTTTGCAAACAATTTTGCTAGTTATATGACAGCTTCAGCAACAACCTTACACAGTATTGCAAACCTACGTATCATCACTTATAAATTGAAACATTTTCGAAATCTATCAAGGAAAAACAGACGTTGCAGAAATTAAAGATTACAGGGTAGATTTAAAGAATCAGAAATATGAAAAGAAAATTTTTAGAACTTCTTCTGTGTTTCACTGTCTTGGCAGATAAGACAGTTCTAACATATCAGACAAGGAATACAACGGAAAACAAAGAAATCGATTTGAAAGGAAACTTACTTCAATTGGAAAATCAGCTGAAAAGTGGAATGAAGTCCCTAACCAAAATGATTATGCCGAAAATGGTGGAAATTACAGGAACACAGAAATTGTCACCCGAGTGTATGAGAAACGGCTTACAAATGATCGACGGTCTCAAGAATCTTAAAACTTGGGCTTTTAGAAGTAAGTTACATGCATTTTTGTAATCTGTGAGAACTTTTCTCTGTTTCTAAAGACATAGAATTTATTTACTTTTGTAGAATAATCTGTTTTATATTTTAATTATATTTACCTTTTTCTCTCAAATATGCTTTATTTATTCTGCTATATTCTTCGAGAAAATCAATGTTTGTTTCTGATTTCAGTCCTTAATTAAGTCTATCAGCGGTGAATTACATTGTTGGTCGAGTATAAGATGGCTGTTAGATTGATTACTCACATTTTTAAGATGTTTTATCGAGAAAAGAAACACTGGAATTTAAAAAGGCCTGTTATAAATTAAGTATTTTAAAACATTTCGTGGAATAATGAATTACGGTAGAAGGAAAACAGCGTACACATCGTTAAGATTTCAGTTATAATGCGTTAAAATTTGCTTACCATTTTAAGAACAATCAAGTGACAAAATAATATTTTTTTGACATCATAAAGGCTTTAACGGATTCTTTCGAAAACTTCAGATCGTCATATTTATTATGCTACCATGCTATTATCAACCATGGAATTTGTCATGTCCATATGCGTTGATCTTGCAAGAAATATAAGATCATTAAATTACCTTCGACGCGGCTTCGCAAATAGCTAATTATCACAGCATTGCCATCTGGAAATACTTGTGAAAAATTATCCCATCTTAAATTTGTCTTTCAAATTTGATCAGTCTGCAATTCCTTGAGAGCTTTAAAGACTTGAAAGCAATAATAGCTCATTTAAATCTTCATTTATTAATAATTTTTTTAATTTTTATAAATCAAATTATATTTAATTTATAATATATCCAAATAATATTTTTTAACATTTGCAACATTATTATAATTAAAATAATATGTTTCTTACAATATATGTTATGTAACTGGTTATTTTTATAACCAGTTACGTAACATATATTTCTCTCTATATATATTTCATATATTTTTTATCTGGTTTATAACTGGATTTCATTTTCTTAAAGTATAGGCCGAGTGTGGTTTTTTAGAAATGTATTTTAAGAGGTCATCATCTTTCTTACATTCCGGTTTGTGCGATATGTTATTTTGGAAACCCCATACTACCATGAAGAAAATAATATATTAAATATATATGTTTAAAAAAGAATTCGCCTCCTCTTCGCCAAAGCTTCTTCTGCCTAGAAACTACTTGGAATGTACTGAAAAAAAATTCCGCACTCTTAAATCTTTGTTTAGCATGCAATATGTTTCCTTAAGAAGGTTTTGCTTAAAAATTAGCTTTCTGAACGAAACTGTGCTAAAAGTACCTATTTTAGGATTGTGAGGAGATTATTGATATCTTCTCCTTTGATGCCTCAAACGCCTTTTTCGCAAAGATACAGCATATTCAATATAAGAATATATATAAAATATAAGAAATGTGAACTTAGCTCGCATTTATAGGAACTATTAAAGCATTTTTATTACATAAAACATTCCGAAACATTATGTAGATATCAGAAGAAATATTTATATAATGCTTAAGCCTACCACATAGTCACTTAATAGCTTGTAATTTGTGCTTTGAAGGGACGAAGGGAAGAAATGGAACATTAAAAAAAATTATTTTTTGTAACTACTGGTTAAAAAAAATGGGTTAAAGTTTCGAAGTTTTTTAATTAAAGACTTATATTCCTCTCCCAAAGGACGTAGATAGGCGTAGCAGTATTTACAAAATGCTTCAGTTCATGACACAAACCCACTTGAAGAAGAAAATTCTACGTGATATCTTCTTGTAAAACTGAAAAATACACAAATCAAACATTTTCTATGTAGTTTTCTTAAACAGCCAACGTTAAAACACGGTTAATAAAGGAATTTGGAGACGCTTAATAAATGCTGTGGTCTAAGTTGGAAACTCTTAAGTTTATTCATCCCTTTTCTACACGATTTTTTATTTAGATTTGCACTTCTCTTTTCTTCTAAGTCTTTGACACTCCGCGTAAAAATAGGTACATTTTTAACTTTTCCACGTTTTCGAATGCGTAGCATTTTTTGTTGAATTGGCCTAAAAACTATTTCTTAGTAATTATTAAGTTTAAATTAATTCTTAATAATTATTTCTTAATAAATTAAACATAAAATATGAAATGACTTTTTAAGTTTACTATTTCCGTCAACGGACAGAATGCCATGTTGTTTGTTTACGATTCATGCTCAACCGTTTAAAATTCGTCAAATGTCCGTTTAATTTTAAGCAATTGATTCATGTTTTTTATTTTTTTTAATGTTAACTTTGAGCAAAATATATAATTTTATCTTTGCTTCTTCAAATCTCTCCCGAAGTTTTCGAACTTATCCCTGCTATTAACAAAAAAGAATAATGGATTTTTGTCTGCGAATAAATTCACTATGAAAATATAATTAATTAGAATTTTATTCCAATTTTTAAGCTTATTTATTGTGTAGAGTCATTAGCTCATATCGATGTAGGAGACGTGAAAAATGTGCAGTGGCCTCGCCAGTATTTGAACCTGGACCTCTCTAAATGCGCCTAGTGTGCTTCCAGTTACACCACGAAGGCACATAGAAAGAAAGGTGAAAATTCCTTATGTATTCCCCCTTGTAAAGGGCGAATGGGAACTAGGGGAACCATTTGCCAAATCCTGGTGGTGACGAATCATCGTCCACAATCTTTTAGTTCGGGCAGCCCTTGTAGAGTCTTTTACAATATTTTGAAGTAAGGAAATCGAAGAAATCCGCGATGTCATTACCGGGGTTCGAACTCCGAACCTCCCGATTACGCGTCAGACGTGCAACCCAGCTACATCACGAAGCCAAGCTGAGAAAAGGGAGAAAAGATTTTCTAAATCATTACTGTGATGATCTAACTGTATATGAAGAACAGAAGTAATTATTTGATTTTGAAATGCATTATTATCGACACACTGTGCAGTATTATTTTTAAATTCCACTTGCATCTTCAAAATTTTTACCGTATGTCTCTGTTTTATATACTTTCAAGACGTTAGACCAATTTTGTTTTTTAAAACGATACTAGAACTTGGTCATGAAAATATACGAAATAAAAACTAGTTTAACATCATTACATAAGAAATTTTCTTTATTTAGAGATTTATAAATTTGATTCAAAAAATCAACATCAAACAGTTATTTAATTTTGAAAAACATGGAGTTGTTTTTTAAAATCAGAATATTATTGTATCATATTAGCTCAAGAAACACAAATTTATCTGGATGTTGAATTTAAAAAAATGCAAAATAAAAAATCGGAAAGTTTTTCAGATTTTATATTACGCCCAAAAGAGGTTTTTTTTTTTTTTTTTTTTTTTTTTTTTAACGTTTTGTGTGTTATCTTTATTTACTAAATATCATGTTCTTCGCACTTAAACCACTAAGTTCAATTCATCAGCAATATCAAAAAATAATTTAAAAAGAGTTTATCTTTAGATTTTCCGATACACAGTCTCGTGCGCTGAAGATAAAAATGCTTTTTTTTTCGTACAGTGTTGCCATTGCTCGCTTTGAAATAGTTGAGTTTCTTAATGAAGAACTCATAAATGCTCTACAAAATATGAAATAGATAAGAAAACAAATTCCAAATTCCGTAATGAACTTTTTGAAATAATTTATTATTCATTTTTTGCTTTATCCAATTGGGAAATTATTGAAGAAAACTCGAGCATATCATGCTGATACTTAGTATTGTTCCTTATAAGAAAACTCCAACTAATGATATGTTACGATCCTCAACTCAACAACTTATGGGGAAAAAAAAAAAGAAAAAGAAAAATAGCTTCTACAGCAGAAGAATTACTAAATCCCATGTTGTGGAAGATATAAAAACAGAAAGCAACCAAGAAAGAATTAAACAGAGGTTATAGTAGGATCATCATACAAAAAACATTACTATCGTTACACAAAAGAGGTTATATTAGGTTATATCAAGATCACTGAAAACCAGATATTGCAGAAGTATTCAAAATTCTCAGATAATTGTACATTGGAAAAAGTAAATTTTTATAATTATATTGTAATATCATGGTTTATTTCACTCGTTCTTTTGTTACTTCTCCAAGCTTCACCTTATCATAATATAACCAAGATAATCATGTATTTCAAAAATTTAGAGGATATCGACTGTAAAACCGGAAATTATTATTCGGCTATTTTTAATGAATCTTAAATGCATTAAACAATACCGAATATCGCTACACAGGATATTTCATATACGGTCAATCCAATAATGATTTGTTTTTGATTAGCTGATGGAGATCACTTTATCATTTTAAAGGAACTTGTTCTAAGACTAGGAGAAGCACTATTGAGAAGAAATAGAAAAGATGTTAGAGATGCTATAGAAACATTTTCGGCTCATGAAAGGAATATGAAGTTACCGCATAAAAATGGATAAAAAAGCTATGAATTGACACCCAGATCTTCTCAAGAGCATTGATTAGGGCAGCATTTTCCATTTTGTGTTTCTAGTCATCAAGTGTTCTGGGAAAATTATGAAATTGAGGTTAGAGAAGAACAAAACATTGCCTTTTTTTATATATTTAACACGATTTAAAACAACTTAGAAATTTAAAGAGAAAACATAAAACAAAGCGCTTTAAATAGTAGGCGTTATAAATTACGTAATGTGTCACAACACAAAATGGCTAAAGTTGCTAACAAAATACGGGTAGAACTTAAATGAATTTTGGATAAGTCTGGCAGAAAAATATTCGAATTTACCATAGTATATCTCTCTTACAATACAAAAGCGTTGATTTTAATACTCTCAAATTTGCACTTTGGTAGGGAAACGGAAAGGAGATGTGACAGTAACGATCTAACTCATAAAGTAACTGAGTGTGCAGAATAATAGTAACCTTAAAAAATGATCTTATTTATCATTCATGAACAGATTATTATCTGGGTTTCTATTTATTATCTGGGTTTCTATTTATTATTTGGGTTTCTATTATCTGGGTTTCTATTTATTATCTGGGTTTCTATTTATTATCTGGGTTTCTATTTATTTATGTATTTATTTTTATTGCTTCAACATTTTTTTTTCTTACAACTTCTTGACAGAAGGAACGCTTTTAACTTTTTCTGTTTACCAAGCATTTACTTTCAATTATTGGAGTCAAATACCATTTTTATCTCTCTATATATAATTTTTGGTTGTAATAATGTGTTTTCCCCTTCTCAAACATATGCTTTATATTTATCTATCTTCCTTTCTTTATAATGTCTTTCAGTTCTGGATGCAAGCGCTAAAAGTCCGGATGGCCTATTAATCGGCTCAACAACATTTTTAGGGAATTACGACGAATGCCTTGGAACTATAGCACGCAGCAGTCGCTCTAGAGATTACGGGAAAATATTGTTTACAGGAAAATACTGCCTTTTGGAAATAAAGCCCGAATTACCACCCAAGAGAAGAACGTATCGAATGTACGATAGAATAGAGGAATTTGAAAACGTATCAAGTTCCGAAACGGTAAGCATCATTTCAAATTCACTCTCTTAGTAGGATGGCAGTTAGTAACTGGCTTGCAATTAAAATGTATGATATGAAGTAAAAACCTAAAGTTGAGAAACAGGATTATGATAAGAAACAAATAAAATTATAAGACGATGCTCAACTATATACATTTCTAATTATCTGGGTTCCAGACATTTGAAATTCCAATGAACAGAATGGCTTGTTTTGCATTTGAGGCTATTTAGGATTTAATATGATGCTAATTTATTTATTTGCTCTTAATTTTAAAATAACGAAAAGAAAAAAACATATTTTCTTCTTTACTTGATCTCTTTCTATATATACGCTAGTTTTGAAATTTATGCCTTTCCATTACATTTTTTTTGGCTTGTTTAACAGATGATCATCAGATCCTACATTATATTTATTAGTAACGTGCAGATCAAAGAACTGTATCATCATTTATGGGAAATTCTAATTCGGTAAATGCTCTTGAACTGTTAAAGAATTCGGAGTTTTCAAGATGACTTTTTTTAACATCTTGAGGAGAAGCTTTTCATATAAGCAAGTTTCGTGCTTTAGCAAAACAAAGAGTATTCCCACTTGAGCGTAACCTGATCTAACTGTTTTCACTTGACGTACGTAATTTAAGCTACTATGAAGATGCGAGCTGCACGGACGGTATAGTAGTTCGGGGAACCTACTGCGATACCAAAGCGCTCGGGTTCGAATCCTGCAGAAGGCATGGATGTTTGTAAATGTATAGTATCTGCGCTGCATGGGGCACTCTAAATATGCGGTGAGTCGAAAGTCCTCTCGAAAGGTTGGTGGTTGTGGAAGAGGTTCGGAGACCCTCAGACTCGTCTCCCTGGAATGTTCTTCTTCGAAATTGGGGGCAGAAATGGCAACGACAAGCGCAGCCTTGTCTCTTGCCACGACGAATTTCATGGGCTTGTTCTGATGTCACTGTCAGGCAAGTGAGATAAGTTAGAACACAATAACAGTATGATGAAGAATACAATAACAGTATAACAGTGTGATGATGCTTTAATTATTAAAAAGTAAGATGTCTAACACTATCGACCGTCTAAATATTTTATGCCTTGAAGAGACATTAGGTATTCTTTTTCCTGGAAGCAGGCAAGATGAAAAATTAGCAACGCCTTCGCCGGGAATCGAACCGCGGACCTCTGGAACACGGGCCCAGCGTACACACCACCACACCACGAAGGCATGCCAAGAAGGCGGGAGAAATACCTTATATACTCTCACATTTTAAAGGGTGATTGGGGATTTTATGGGACCCAATCGCCAAATCCTGGGTGAGGAGAATCATCATCCACAATCCTTTTAGTTCGGGCGCCATTGTATAGACATTAGGTATTTTTTTTTTTTTTTGGATGCAGGCAAAAGAAAAAATTAGCAACGCCTTCGCCGTGAATCGAACCGCGGACTTCTGGAATACACGCCCAGCGTACACACCACCACGCCACGAAGGCATGCCAAGAAAGCGGGAGAAATATCTTATAACCTTTCATCGTTTATTACATGTGTGGAAAATATACTGCATTTAAGATATATTTTCGCACATAAATCTGAAGGAAATTGAAGTTCGATATTCGTGCGTAAATGATCTAGTGAAATAAATGCATAGCCATGTTTTGAAATGGGTATAATTTATGATGAAACAAAACCGTAGTAATTTTCTTTCTGCTGTATGACACAGATATTTTCTATAGCTCGTTTTAAACACCTGATTTTACACCCTATATTCTGAATTTTTTGGGAATTTAATTCTTAAACTAATCGAATTGTTCAGCTTAAAACTATTTTAGATGTTAAATTTATATCAAAATACCAAGATTACATTGCAATTCTTTTTTAATTTCATACTTTGTTTTACTTTATAAAATTTTTTTAATATTTTTAAAGCTTTTAAATACTGTATTAACTTCCTAAAATTTTAATGGTAAACTCTTCGAATTATAAATCCCGATCGGAAATTTTTAGATGTGAACTGATTTTTTTTTTCTTTGCAGTATAAGAAACTGTTTCTCTTTCAAATTCATGTATGTTTTTTGTAGACAACGTTTCGAACATAGTTACGCGTGTTGAGGAACGGAATGGCTGACCTCAACTGAATATGAAAAATCTATGCATGGCATTTAAATTGCGCCTTTGAATTTTTTGAAAAAATTTTATTTTTTAACCGACTCCAGACTGATATCATTTCGCATCGCAAACGGTATCTGAATAATACTAAAAATCCTTTACTTCTAAAAATTTCCTAAATACGAAGTAAGGACAATGAACTTTATCAAGTTTCTTTTCCTTCAGGAGGAAAAGAATCTTCAAGCTGGATGAGAACCAAGAACAAGGTGCAATGACGTGCTTTGTGAAAATACTGAAAAATTAACGAATCAAGTTCTAATTAGCATTAGTCTCCATTAATAGCTCTTGTATTTATCACCAAGAAACATGATTCTTTAATTCGGCGGGCTGATAGTTATAAGAATATAGTAATTTTTATTCCGGCTGCAAGATTCATCAGCCTTAGATGTCTTTGTGAGCACTTTTCATAGGAAACCACTCATACTTAACGTTATTCGTTTTCAGCTATCTTATCAGCAGCCTGTGGGACACAGCCTTGTTAAAGCAGCCACTGCATAAAAGTTAAGCGGCGTTTGAAATTTGCATATTATATTATATATAGATTAGGTGATTAAGAGCGGTGATAGCTTTAACATGGAAATATCTCGATGGTCAATACAAGATCAAAAGAATGAAATGTTCTACCTTCTTATAAAGAATGGGAAAAAAAAAAGAAAAAAACACCACAGTACTAAAAGAATCTGAAATGTTTCAGATTTTAAATTACTTCCAAAGGGGCGTTTTTTTAACGTTTTGTGAGTTACCTTCATTTATTAAATATCATGTTCTTTGCACTTAAACCATAAAATGGTTACAGCCGAAAACATTGCGGCAAAAACATAGCGGACGAAAACGTCGCGGAGAAAACAACGCAAGGCGAAAACGTCGTGCTACAAAACATCGTGGGAGAAAACATCGCAAAGAGAAAACATCGCAGTTCTAAAACATCGTGGTACAAAACATCGTCGTCGAAAATAAAGCAGTTCAGAAACCTCGCAGTTTAAAAACATCGTCGCCGAAAATATCGTGGTAAAAAATAAAGTATCTACAAATCATCGCATGACGATAACATCGCAGACATGCTTTTTTCAGGCTTCAATAACTGTAAATGGATATTCCCATAATGATTGTGCGCAAGATGTAAAGAAAGATAAGCTTTACTCTCACATTTTTTATTAACTAATAAATTTTTGCTGAAAAAGTAAGAAGGAAACCTAAGCAGTTAGAAATCCTCCATTTTTAAATGCAACTTAATAGATTATACTTTTTTTGAAAAATTACCAGTAAAAACTTTATAAAAAATGATTAAGTTATTAATGGTCTTTGTTAGTTAACTATGTCGGTTTAAAATTCAAAATTAAGTGCTATAAGTTGCATTAATTTTCTATGCTTAAGTTTCCTTCTTATTTTCTCAGCAAAAATTTAATATTTAATAAAAAATATGAAAGTAAAAATTATCCTTCTTTACATCTTGCGCTCACAAATCATTATGGGAATATCCATTTACAATTATTAAATCCTGAAAAAAGCATGTCTGCGATGTTATCGTCATGCGATGATTTGTAGATACTTTATTTTTTACCGCGATATTTTCGACGACGATGTTTTTAAACTGCGAGGCTTTTGAACCGCTTTATTTTCGACGACTATGTTTTGTACCGGGTCCGTGACACTTAGCCGACAACCACTTAGCCGATGGGACACTTAACCGACACCACTTAGCCGACAGGACATTTAGCCGACACGGACACTTGTATCGTGCTGTTTGGTGTACATTGGCCAAATTGAAAATGCGCTGAAATTTCTCGAAAATGAATAAAACAAAACCTTAAAGAATATTTTACTTCTAAATTAAATATTATGCACTAGTTTAGGGCTATAAACATTAACCTAAGTATTTTATTTTATGCGAGAGGCGTGGTCAATAAAATTGTTACAGAATTTTTATCTCAAGAATGGTGGCATGAACTGCAAATTATAAGAGGTCGCAAATAATTTATACCTTTGCTTGTCTTAAAATTCACTTTTTTTAAATTGTTTTTTTTAATAACAAAATAAAATATATTTGCTCGAAACTAACCCTTCACCACCATATGTTTCCATGAAAAATATAATTCAAGAATAACAATAATTTTTATTGCATTATTTCAGATTTTTCATGACAAGGAAAGGAAATTTTCCTTAGTGGGAAGGAGCCAAACGATTTTGTACAGGGAAAAGAATGTAACATGATGTATATGAGTAAAATAGTAATGAAACGTAAAGGTATTAAAAATCTGAAAGCATTTGGAAGAGCGAGATTGGAAAATTAATATCATTAAGTAAACAAGAAAAATTATCAATGAAGTGTTCAAAAGAACCCAGTTGATTAAATGAAGGAGCTTTATGGATAATATTTGAAGATCTCACATTAAAATGTAATTAAGTGACCGCCGTACTTAGCTAAAAATATTCTTTTTTCCTTTCGAAATTTCATTCATATTCCCTGACGAGAAATTTCAGCGCTTTATCAATTTCGCCAATATACACCAAACAGCACGATAATACATGAACCTTATCAGAGATAGACTAACCCAGTGGGCGGAGCGTGCGTCGCCCACATGTCCATAAGAAAAGAGTAGGGACGATCTGGCTTACTTAACACGGAAACCGCTGGCGTTTGTATCACATAACTGTTTTTAATTATTAAATGTGATACGTTGTATAAGTGATGAGATTATAAAAGTCACAGTTTTTGCAAACAATATTTAACATATCTCATAAAAGCACTTTTTACTGCATTTTTGCGCATTTCTTTTCAAGCGTAATTCTTGTATAAATTTGTTTTCTTTAGTAAAACGGTAAAAATTCTAAACGCAAAACTTATGAACTTATTTTTTTGTACAAATAAAGTAAAATTAAATAATACTGATAGCATATGATGCTTTGAAACAAATAAGGTAAAATTAAACAAGGATCTGCTAATTTCTTTGATTTTATGAGCATTTTCAGGCAGTAGTTTTTAAAATTATTATAGCATAACAAGACGATCATTTATTTGATTTATAATCATTAATTATTAACATTACAAGATGATTATTTATTTTAGTAATTCATAAAAGTCGGAGCAAACTCTGGAAGCACTCAGCAATATAATTTTATATTTAATATTTTTAGGAGCGTTTTGGTAACGTTCTGCGTGTTACCTTTATTTATTAAACATCATGTTCTTCGCAAGTAAACCACATAAAATTTAATTCAAGAACAATATCACAAAATATTTGAAAATGACATATCTTTAGAATTTCCGCGCTGGAGATTGTTATTTTCTGTATAGGGTTGCCATTGCTTGGTTTGAGCTCGTTGAGTTTCTTAATTAAAACTTCGTTAAAGTTACAAAATATGAAATGGATTAAAACAAATTCGAAATTAGGCAGTCCACGGGTCCATGTTCGGGTGGAGGAATACGTTATTCAAAATTTTATGGTTCTAAATTCTGTTGTTTTTTCACAGTGCGAGAGAAACATACCTGCATTCATACAGATTCTTCATTATTTAATTTCTTTAAATTTAATACAGGGCGATAATATTTAGTGGCAACAGTTTGCAAAGTGAAACGGACATTTATAGTGAAACAAAGCAAAATGCCGTTTCGCTAATAGCTTTTCTGAGCTGCCGCCCCTTTGGTTTAATAAAATAAATTAGCAATAAATAAGAAAACTTATGCAGAACTAGACATAAATTTAAAAATTAATCACTACAAAATACTAGCACAATTAATTATTACAGTTAAATACGATTTTTAACATTAGAATAAATACATAAAAATTATTAAAGTGTTAAAAGTGTTAATCACTATGATGTATTAGAAATATTATTGTAATAAAACTCTTTTGTAGAATATTATGCTATAATATTCAGATATATTTTTAAAAAAGTAGTACAAATAAGAATTTTAGGCAAAAACTTTCAAAAATCCATTTTTTCGATTTTAGTATTTTTTACTTATTTACACCAATAAAAAGCATAAAAAATTGTAAGAGAAAATTGTTTGTTTGAATTTTTCTATTAGTTCAGATTTAAAATATTATTTTTTAAAAGAAGGAGATACAAATTTCCTTACAGCATAGGAAAAGCCTAAAAAAAATATCCAGACCTGAAAGCATGCAACAGCCTTTATAATTATTTAGAACATTAATTACGCTTGATAAACATGCTAAATTTTAAAAAAATCAATCTCAGTTTCAAAAATAAAAATATGTAAAAATTCTAATTTGTGAAATGAGTGCTATCACCAGCTTTTTCTTGAAAATTATACGCGCTGCAATAGCCAACTATTGTTAAATTTCTGCAAGTCGTCCCTACTCCTCCGGATGTGGTCATGGTGACAGCCGGCAATACGCCAAGGCAAGGGAGAAAACCCATTTGGGTTGGTCTGTTTCTTATAAGGTCCATGGATACATATCAAACAATGCTAAATTAACACAATAATTAAAAGTATATATGAGATCTTTAAGAATCGAAAAATGAATTTTACTGATAGTGAAAAAATAACTTAAATATTGAACTTACGGAGTAGTCGAGAAATTTGTAATTGGTAGTAAGTTTGAATAATTATTGGGTATGTGCCAGCTAAACGTTACTGTCGGCTTTGTGTCCTGTCGACTAAACTTGTTGATAGTTAAGTGTCCTGTAGTTAAATGTCTTGACGGCTAACTCTCTGTGTCAGCAAAATGTCTTGTCGGCTAACTGTCCGTGTCGGCTAAATGTCCTGTCGGCTAAGTGTCCTTGTCGGCTAAGTGTCTTGTCGGCTAACTGTCCGTGTCGGTTAAATGACCTGTCGGTTAAGTGCCCGTGTCGGCTAAATGTCCTGTCGACTAAGTGTCCGTGTCGGTTAAATGTCCTATCGGCTAAGTGTCCCTGTCGGCTAAATGTCCTGTTGGCTAAATGTCCATGTCGGCTAAGTGTCCCTGTTTCTCTTTGCGATGTTTTCTCCCACGATGTTTTGAACCACGACGTTTTCGCCTTGCGTTGTTTTCTCCGCGACGTTTTCGTCCACGATGTTTTTGCCGCGATGTTATCGGGGGACACCCATAAAATTTAGTTCAATAGCAATGTCGCAAAATAATTTTAAAATGAGCCTATCTTTAGAATTTCCGATACACAGTTCGACGCGCTGAAGATAAAAAGGTTCTCCCCTCCCGGTAGAGTGTTGCCATTGCTCGCTTTTAAATCGTTCAGTTTGTTACTCAAAAAATTCGTTAGTTTTACAATATATGAAATCGATAATAAAACAAATTCCAAATTTCAAATTTGGAATTTCAGATGTCCATATTAGCAGTAGGATGATGAAATTGGTTGGCTCTAGATACCGTTGTTTTATCACAATGCGAGAAATATACATATATTTATGCAGATTTTTCATTATTTAATTTATTCAAATATAATGCAGGACCCTAACATTTTCTGGCAACAGTTTGAAAAGTGAATCGACATTTACAGGAGTCCGGCGCAAAATGCCAAAATGGAAAGTAATAGTCCTTCGGGATTCTTTGGACTTCGGGACCCTTTGAACTAATAATTGTAAATTAATTTACGTTTTTATTTATTATTTATGAAATAAAAGGGCTTTTTTTTTCCAAAAACTTTATTTTTAAGAAAGCATTCAAATAAATATTTAAAATCAATTTTCAATAAAGCAAATCTTCGGGAGATATTCGATGAAGGAGAATTGTGTCAAATTTAACATCTTCCGAATGCAAATAAAAATATAAATGAATAGACATATTATATATGAATTCGTATGCTACTATTATGGGAACTTTCAGCTAATCGTTATAGTCTACTTGAATGTTTCCGAGAAAAACGTTCTAGCCTTTAAAAACGTTTTCTCTAGAAATAGTCAAGCTAATGTATTAATTAATGAGGAAAAAATCTGATGTGGACGCCACATGACTTGCTTGCACGACTTATTAAATATTCACTTTTTTTGCTAATTAAATTTATTTTCTCGAATTTCATTAGAGATACAGTTCTCATTCAATTAATTCAGTTCCCACTTCGCGGCAACGCAAAAATATATAAAAACTCAAAACATCTTCATTAAAATTTGTAAAATACAGAAAAACATAAAATGCAAAACACGGATTAAAAACAGCTAAAAAACAATTTTTTCAATTAAAATTAAAGGTTCTACGCAAAAACAAACAATTCGGCCAGCGGTTAGGAAGACATGTTTTTTGGGGGTTCGTACATAGAAATGCCACGCAAAAATATCTTTTAAATGGGTTCGAGAACACTCAGAATGGATATTATCATTGAAATTTGATCCGGAAAATTTTCGCGATTACAATTATTTACAAGGAAGTAAAAAACGAATAATCTTGAAATAGGTATAATGTAAGCAAAATAATCATTAAATTTATATTTATTTTTCGCATATTTTTTAAAACCATTTTCAAATTCAATTCATTCATCAGCAAAACGCACATCAATAAAATTCAGTATTTTAAAAAGTATATAATATAAGTAAGTGGGATTTTAGAGTGCTTTTAGTAACCATTTTCGAATCTGTTAAAACTAGTTCATTTTACAACTTATATTGTTCGTATTCTAGATCATTGATGAAATTGCTTCCCGATTGCACACATTTTACTCCTATGTCCTGAATCTTGGAGTATGCGTCCCTTCTGGTTGTAAAAAAGAAGACCTTGAGATTTTAATGAATTCAGGTGAGAGATTTGTTCACTGAAATATTGATTTTTCAATTTCAGGAAAATTTTTTGGGAACCTCCTGATTTCTAACTGGATGCGTTACCAATTACACAATGAAGGCAGAAATACGTTATTTCACTCTTTCTTAATGACTAGAAGCAGGGACACAGTCAAAAATTCTAGTGGCGATGAATTATCATCCACTACATCTTTCGTTCGGGCGCCCCCCTGAAATGCTTCCAATTATACCCCGAAGGCATGCGGTTAGGAGGGAGAAAACACCTTATAAAGCTTGTTGATGTTATAATGTATCGGTCCAAACATAGCGACATTTTAAAATCAAATTTGAAACCATCGTCACGAGTCCAGATTCTACTATGACGATAAGCATATTCTGGCTATTTAATATTCTTTAAACATTAAAAAAAAAGTCCTCAGTGTTCAGAATAGAATACATAATTTGAAAGAAAAAGTATTTCTTTAAAGCAAAATTTGAGATTAGGAAATGTAAAATGTGACTAGAAAAAATTAGGCTAGAAATAACGAAAAATCTAGTTGAATCTATACCAAAAAGATTAAAATCTGGGAGATAAATAACACTTAAATACAATATTCAAGGAAATTTTTTATTTCATAGAATATTTATGTGTCCCATTACTTTTGTAAGACTTTTACGTCAAAAAGAGAATATATTAATTTTTTAAATTCAGTATTTTATTTTTGGTCAAAATATTTAGTGCAAAAAAAATAATATTGAGCAGACAGCATAAAGAAACCGCGTCCTATAATTTCTGTAAAATATACACGGAAACTAATTATTTGTAAAACTAAACTCTGATTCTCTACAGAACAATCAGGCTCGTCTTAGCACAATTCTATACTCACAGTACAACTATACTTAGAAAGACGTTAAAATAAACCCTTTTATTAAAATTTAACAGATGCATAGCTGTACAAAACCAGCCTCCGCTGCTTGCGGATTTTAAGCTAACACAAAACATTCAATTTATACTTTAGGAAGTGACTCTGGAATTCATAAAGTAAAGCCTAAGAGTTGGCTCAGGCTACAAAATACGCGAGGAAAACGGTTTGCAAAATGATAAAGCTGATAATGCAGTGCTTGAAGCGGTGATAGGAATATCACGAAAAAGAAATAGTATATCATAAGAAGGCAATAAATAAATAAATAAATAAAATAAAAAACAACTGTTATAAAAATCTGAAAGCTTTAAGATTTTATATTACGCCGAAAAGGGCATTTTCTTCACGGGGATTCAAAATGGAATTTGAAAAGTGATGCAGACATTCGACGCAAAATACCGTTAGACATTGTAACGTCTACGCTACCAACACAATACCAGTAAGACATGTAAAGAAACCTCGCGCATAAAATATCCGTGCTTGGAAGATGCACGCAATGTTAATATTAATGAAACGCTTTGAAATCGTTGAGTTTGTTAATAAAAAATTCGTTGAAGTTTTAAAAATAAAACAAATTCCAAATTTGGGCATCCAGATGCCCCCATTTGAGTGGAGAATTACGTTATTCAAAATTTGATGTCTCTTGTACCGTTGTTTTTTCACAATGCAAGAAACATAGATACATTAATTCAGATTCTTAATTATTTAATTTCTGTAAATATAATGCAGTGTTGTAATATTTGGTGGTAACAATTTAAAAAGTGGTTTAGACTTTTATAGTGAACCAATGCAAAATGACAAAACGAAATTAATATCCCTTCTGGGCTAACGCCCTTTTGCTAATAATCAGATAATGGATTGATTAATACATAAACTCAGAAATACAATAAAAACTCTGACAGCATTTTGATAGATAGCAAATGAACAATTAATTAAAAAATATTTAGGAAAACGTAATTGAAAAACTTTTTATTTAATTTTCGGCTTTTTAAGATTGTATATTTGTTATCTCAAAAACAGGCTATAGTCTTACATTTCTTGGAAAAACAACCCCTGATGTAGTTGTAACGAGAAATGCAAAATTAACTAACTCTTTACAAATTCATTTGTTTTCTCCTTTTGGCATTTTTAAGCAGAATTTGTTTACATTGTTTTCGATCGAACTGCTGTATCAGAAAGTGATTTTTTAATTTTCAGTTTTAACTTTTATTTTTATTTAGTTATCGGTTTTTTTCGAACTTAATTGCTTTCTTCCTATCATTTTCTCATACATAAACAGATATACTTTTAATACATTAAAATAAAATTTTAGTATGTCATGAAATAAGAAGAAAAAATTAGATGAAATCTCTGTGTTCAATCAAACTGAAAAAATGAGGAATTTTTAAGATTGGGGTTTAAACATCAGCCATATATATCCAGTCTCAGATACATACTAAAATTACATGTTATTAAAATTATAGCAATTAAAACTGAACTCACACAGCAATTCTTCTTTCTTGTTTTCATGCCTAATAACTGTTGAAAATATGCATGTATAACGTGATTTTTGAATAGGAAAAGAAAAGTAAAATGAGATATACAGCAATGCCTTCCACTTTATTTAAATTTAATCAATTGTGTTTATAATCATTATTTCAGTAAACCAATTTCACTTGCTATGAACGTTTGAATCGCGTATTCTTTGAAAATCTTTTAGACCTCAAACAGGAGACTTCCTTAAAAAATGAGAATAGTTCGGATCAAGATCTTGCAATAACATTAAATATTAATCATTTTTTGATAGACTGTTTACAATAAAACATATTTTTATTTTAGTTCATTGTATTTCTGGCGACGTGTTTCCTGGCACAGGTTAAGATTTCCTTGTAGTGCCCTTCTATAAAATACGGGACTTTCCAAGGCTAATCTGCCTTGATATGATCAAGATGGCTATCTAAGAAAATATCAACTCATGCATCAGCACTTACGTCATATATTTGAAATTGATGTTTTTCTTTTCTTATTTATTTCTTTATTCAAATTATTGAAATTGAAGTTGCTTTTTTGTTTCTGTAATAGACACAAAGAATTTACTTCACTTGTTTAATAATAGCTTTATTTTCAGTTTTAAAGGATCTACATTTAGATGCGAGTGTATACAGCTGTGAAGTGAAGGAAAATATAAATTTCTCTAAACACAAATTTTTATCACGTAAGTAACTCAGAAACACATTTAGCTTCATTGTATACTGAAATCTGTTAAAATCAGCCCACTCAGATTTGCTTTGTATTTTTTGTAATGAGAGTTTCTGAAGCCTAAAGTTTCAAACTGTTAGGAATTATGTATCCGGATTTCAAAGTGTGATCTAAACAAATAGTTTAAACTATAGTAGGAATTTGTTTAATGAAGATCAGTGTCCTTCTAAACACAAATTTCGTAATTAAAATGAAATCAATAAAATATGCTGAATTTAAAATAAAATTTTCATTTAAATAAAAATGTTTCATTAAAAAAAATTCCTTTACAATATGTACACAGTGTGCACTATTACCCCTCCCCCCAAAAAATAAAAAATTCATTAAAGTTTTACAGAAAACGAAATATAAATTTTTTTAATAAACTCTGAAAGGTTTCAGATTTTAAATTTCAGATCCAAAGAGGCGTTTATTTAAAGTTTTGTGTGTTACCTTTATTTATTTATTATCATGCTCTTTGCACTTAAACCATAAAATTCAGTTCAACAGCAATGTCGCAAAATAATTTTAAAATGAGCCTATCTTTAGAGTTTCCCATACACAGTTCCGCGCGCTGGAGATAAAAAGGTTTCCCCCCCCTCCCGTAGAGTGTTGCCATTGCTCACTTTTAAATCGTTGAGTTTGTTAATGAAAAATTCGTTAAAGTTTTACAAAATATGAAATCGATAATAAAACAAATTCCAAATTTCAAATTTGGTCTTGCAGATGCCCCATACTCGCAGTAGAATTACGTCATTCAAACTTTGATGACTCTAGGTACCGTTGTTTTATGACAATGCAAGAAACATGCATACATTTATGCATATTCTTCATATTATTTAATTTTTTCAAATATAATGCAGGACTCTAACATTTAGTGGCAACAGTTTGAAAAGTAAAACGGACATTTATAGTGATTCAAAGCCAAATCGGAAAAAGAAAACAATAGTTCTTCAGGCACAAAGCATTTTTGGATTAAATATATGAATACGTACTTTTCTTTCTTCCTATCAAAGAACAGGATTTACTAGATACTGTTTTGTGGAGCTTCATTAAATTTCGAAGAAAAATTTGGAGACTTGGGAGATTATCTTAAGTAGATACAGCGTAGTATCTCTTCTCTTTAGGTTGTTACCAGAGCACCTCACACCAGGGCTATTACAGAGCTCAACTTCTGCTATAAATTGGAAACGTTTTTAACAAATACTTCTTATTCAGACCACTGATATCGTTGACATCATGAATTAATAGCCTAGAGGACAAGACAGCTGAACACCGATAATTTGACTCGATTCCCGGCGAACGGACTTGCTGCATGAATATTTCGATGGTTTCTAAAATGTGTAAAATTTCAGATTTTCTCAGAAAGTTCATCTCGAAGGTATTTCTTCCTTTTAGCAACAGATGAGCCTATCAACGATTGAGTATTAAGAGCGCTGTACATTGATAGTTTGATTAAAGTTCAAATCCAGGAAAACGAACTAGCTGCTTTAGAGTTTTCCTGTTTTTTTTTTATATGTGTAATGAGAGTACACACCAAAGCTAGTTTCTCTTATAGAGTCCTCGCGAAAGCTGTATTAATCCTCAGGCAGATAGCCCTTGCAAGATGTGCCATAATCTTAATAACACTACTAAAAATTCTTTTGACAGACAGCTCTTAAGAGTTTTGCTATGTTTTATTAAACTGAAAACGTAGTGCATTTTCATAGGATCTTGTCTTTATTCTTGGTGAAGCTTTGGTATCTTATATCCCTTTACCCTCACTGTCTCTCGTTTCGTTCTGGCTTTTAAAAACTGTTTCTGCCAGTTTCATAAAGCAATCTGCATGCATTTTCACAATTGTAAATTTATCCTGCTCTTTAGCGCTTTGAATGGTTCTGTAAACGGATATTCAATATGTAAAATAAATGCATTAATGCTTAAGTAAATTTCGAACTAACTCTGTTATGCCTGTTTTCGTAAATTTACCTGTTTTATTATTTTAAACTTTTTAAAAAAATGAAAGTTTTGAGTTTGTGTAGATGTTTTTACATTTTTCAACGAAAAAAAAACTCTTATGTTATAATAGAAAATTAATTTGCTTTTAGTATATTTTATGTTCTCCATTATAAGCTAAGAACTGCTGAATTTTGTAAGAAAATTTTCCATCTCTCTTTCCTATAATTACTCAAGGAGGTTAGAACAGAAGAAGAGAGGGTTCGCACTTTCCTCCACTCTATCGGGCAATGAAACTCCACCGAACAAGCGGCGTCCATGTTTCTAACTTCAAAGCATTGGATTACGGCAGTGAAACATATGTGTTTCCAAGCTGTTACGTGCAAGTATTTTCCAGTAAAATTATGTTAAATTTATAATGAAAAACTTCGCTATTGTTAGTTTTTTGCTTTAAAGTTATGATGTCCGTAATTTACTACGTACAGAAAATCATTAAGAAATAGTTCAAATCTAAATGCATGTGCATAACATTAAAGCCTTTAAAAATGGTGTTTCTGCATATTTCAAGAATTTGTTAAGGTTTTATTAGCAACCTGTTGTGTGTAGCTAATTTCAGGAGGCTGGTACTTGATGCAAATAGTATTCCATTTTTAAAGCATTTATTGGCATACTTTAAAAATTCAATTAATTCTTAATTTCAATTAAAAAAGCACATTATAACTTTTATCCATTTATAAATTTTTAGATGTATTTTAGGGAAGGGGAAGATTGTTTTTGTGGAAATCTGAGAAAAGTGTTAATTTTGATTAAGCTACAGTAAATGAAATAACTTCATGGAATCAGAAAATCTAAATTTCTAGAGATAAAAATAAACAGCAAATAGATTTGCATTATACATGTCAAAAGCGACAGCTGATTACGGGATGGTGAACTTAGATGGTTTCTCAGCTCAGTGCATCTCCAAGTTAAAAAAATTAAAAACTGATTTAAATTCTATTCTGACTTATTTCTAATGCTTTCCTGATCAGAAAATTTCTACGCATAATGGGAAAATGTCTTTGTCTAACATTGAACAAAAAATGTAGAAGTGAAAAAAATATCATCATATTTCATATTTATGAATCTCAAAGAAATTGCCTTGAATTAAGCTGAATTACAGAACCTATATAAATTTTTGGATACATCTTTCCACATGTTCAATTTACTTTTATCGCTATACTGCCCAGAAATTTGTAAGTTTATGCAAAAAAAAAAAAAAAAAAAAAAAAAAAAAAAAATTAACAACAGAACAGTTTATTTTGATCAAATGCACAAATTATATTCGGAACAGCTCACAAAACTTAAAAAGGAATAATAATTAAAACATAATTAAAAGCATTGCTTTATTTAACACCTTAACAATTCATAAAAATAGCAACAATTGATTTCTTATTTTTCATGAATATTATAAAAGGAATTACCTAAAACGTTCAAATTATACAGTTTAAATCCTAGCATATGTCATTGTATGCTAAGGAACGAAGATGCCAACTATAAACAGAAACATTAAAATGTATTTAACATATTTTGATTATTGTGAAGTCCTTTTTTTCACATATGGAAAGAAAACAACATGACATTGTGATATTTTTTAACATAGTTATCAAATTACATAAAAAAAGAAAATCAATACTTACGCGTGAAAAGTAATCTCAGGAATCTTTTTCGAAAATCTGTGCATCCATATGCAACACAAGCTGACATGCTTCAAAAGCAAAGAAAAAAATGTTGCAATTACAGACTTCCTTGCAGAAGTCACAGTCATACTAATAGTGACATGGCCGCCAAGCTTCACCATTTGAGTTGAACCTTCCCTCCTTCTATTCTAACCTCCTTGTAATTACTGTATATTGTAGCGGAAAACGTTTTGCCCTCCACTGCGAAGTTCCTTTACGTAATCGTATTTCTATTCCTAAAGAAATTATGTAATTCCTGAAAGAGGAGATATTCTGTTGGAGTAATACAATTTAACAGTGGGGTAGTCAAAATTTTTCCGCTCTGGACAGTCCCGCCCTTCTCGATACATGTCAAATCGATCTATTACGGAAATAACTTTGGAGGTTAACTTTGGAGGAAGTTTTTATCGTTACTTTCGAAATTTTAAATGGCAGAAAGACATGTGATATAGCAAAATCGTGGGACTTTCGTTCACAGACGTTGTGTGACCGGCGAAATTTTATTAACGAATGTATTATGGTAAGTGCATTTTATTTTACTGTTTTTATACTATAAATTTCTGTTGTTGTTGTTTTTTTTTTTTTTTTTTTTAATTTTGGTAATTTTAGTATTTTAGTTTATTTTTAATTTGTGCACAATGCTAGATTGCTTCGTAGATTTTTTAAAGTTAAAACAGGATGCAGTGTAACATGGTATTCTTGAAAATTATTGTTGTTAATTAGTTTATTAAGCGTGTGTGCGTTGTTCGTAGATTCTTTCTGCCTAGATGGCAATTCGTAGAGGTTTTTTTAAGTTAAACATATCGCTGTGTACGGATTCTTGTCAAAATTTTTGGTTAAAACTTCTTTTTGCTATCTAAATTTTTGTTTTTCGGATTTTTGCTTAAATTATGCGTTTTTTGCATGTGCGAAAACCGCGTTTTCGGAGACATTTTAGGTTTAAAGTTCGAAACGTAGATAAAAAATTAAGATAGTAATATGGCACCGTAAAGTTTATCGCCAAAAATATTTGGCGAGAAATTTTTTGCCAAGCGAGGGCGTGTTTCCATTAAGCTACTAGCAGCTATGCGGCCAGCCTTCGTCTGGCTTTTAAATGTACCGGAAAAATGCCTAAAGGTTTAAATTTAACGTTAAATTTAAAAACTGAGCAGAATTTAATTCTGCAGAGAAACTTTACCAGAAAACATGTATTACATATAACAAAAAATGAAATAACAATCCCCCTTAATTACAAATTAATTCATACTATAAATAAAATAATCAAAATTCTGTTGCAAAATCTTAATAATTCAAATGGTATAAAGCAAATTAAGTTTGTTTCCTCACAAAGCATGCAAAGTTTTTATATTTGAAATTATATATAAATATAATATAAAAAATTCAAGGAAATAAGCAATAAATCTCATATTTGAAGAGAAACAGTCAGCATTCAGTATAAAAAGCCGCCTGAATGAAAAACTTGCCAAATCCCATTTCTAAAAGAATAATACTATTCAAAATGATGCGATTTCATCAAAAAAGAGGAAATTATAAAAAATCTGATTCGAATTTTGAAAAAAATCGTTTCGAGTTGCACTGGCTCTTGTCTAAATGCACCTAAGCCCTGAGTCTATTACCTTAAGCGCAGCACGAACGAAAGACACACACACACTTTCTTTTATTATATTTAGAGATTACTTATTTCAGTACACCTCGTGGCAAACCTTGTAAAATACAGACGTTTTGCATTTGTTATCTTAACTAATAATAGTAATAACAACAACTAATTTAAGACAGCAAAAGCTTTATTGTCAAGTCATTGAATCGTTTGACTCATGAATGATTATTCATAGAATACTAAAAAGGGTAGATTTTTTGAAAAATTTAGTTTTGTTTAAATTGTTTCAAGAAAATAAAAAATAATGCACTTTTTCGTAGATCTCTGTATGCTTTTATTGGGATGCTTGTTATCATTGCATCATTTGTAGATGCTTGGCTTCAACATAAAGGTGTAACAACAGAAAGTAAGTCAATTTTTTTATCTTTATTTTTACTATTTTTGGCGCGACATATCAAGCACTTTTTTGTAAAGTGTTTACCCAGTCTTGAGTACTTTAATGATTGTCGGCATTCAGACTATGATAATTTAATATGAGTGAATTGGTATTATAGAGAAAATTTAATAACAGTAGGCTAAGATGCTAATGCAGCACAAAAAGTAAACGATTTATAAATTTAAATGCACCAAAAAGTCAAGATTTGCATGAGTGAATGCCTGGTATTTTCCACTTGAAGAATGTGGGCTGCTCCTTTAAAATTCTTTAAAGCTGAAATGACGTAATAGAAAGAAATAATTACCATTAGTTTTAACATGAGAATATGTTTTCCAGTGCTACTTAGAGAAGATAAAGAACAAACAACTGAAAAGCGTTAAGTTGAATTAATTTTTTTAATGTTTGTGCTAATACTGCTGATTGAACTGAGATCTTTTTAGCTTAAAATCTTTTATATATATATATGTATATAACGCATTATGACAGTGCAGAGATCAATCAGCGTTTCCAATGGAGAACACATCTGGATACAGGCGTGGAGGCCAATTCTGTGCTATGACTACATTTTATTTTATTTTGCTAAGATTGCTTTTTACGGTGGAGATCTCGTTTCGAACCTCCAAGGTCACTACAATCTTCAGAGACATCAAGGGATTGGTGATGCGTTAACCATTCTCACTAAGAGATGGCGCCAACAGATAGCGGCAGAAATAAGATCAGCAACTGAATCTCTCATTGCACTAAATAATGCCACAAGCATAGTGCTTTTTATTTTAGAATTACAGCATACTACAAAATGTGACAACTGTCTTAGTATTTTTTCTGACCATTGCTCTACCAGCTTCAGTTGCATTTTTATCATAACATAATTTACAATATTTCCGTACTCCAGAGGCTTTTCCCGGTTTTCTTTGGAGTTTATGTTGTCGTTTTTTAGATATTCGTGCATTTCTGTTCGATGAAATATCTTCTTTTTCACAACTTGTAAGGGATAGCGCTAATTCTTTCCGGACTTCAGTAATGCTAATTTTCTGATTCGTAATATCTTTGCATAGAATGTAACTATTTACAAAAACAGACTTAGCGCGTAACGTGTTGAATGAATGCCTATAGGAATCACTTTCCAAACGTAAACTATCTTCTAATGCGATAAGAATCGCTGGCCCTACAATACCAGCACTTTTAAGCGGCGCGCGTGTCCTGAACGGGATTGCCTAAGAAATACGCTTAGTGCTCAACGTGTTAAAGGGTCTAGTGAAATAAAAATTTTTTATCATATTCTTAATATCATATATGTAAATAATACGACATTCTTAGAATTCTGCTATTCTTCTTTTGCTTCAATTTTATTTTATTTTGCTATTTTGCAATGCATAAAACAAACTACAAATTGCAGCTAGTTATCATGCGCTAATTTGAATTATTATGAAACCTCTGTAAGCGTATTTATAGCATATACTTATTTATTTTATGTGTGTTGTTTCTATTATTCTGTTTTTTGTAGGTAATGCACTTCGAGTTTTGTTGGCATTTTCAGTATTAAAAAATTTCTCCAGACTCTTCTCCACTGAAAAGCTAAGTGACAGATTAACATGCTTGAACGGAATACGTGTTCTTACCCTGCTTTCGATAATTTATGGACACAGTTATTATTTCCTTCACATGGATATTTTCAGTACGTATCCAATTTCCTAAAAATTTTACAGTGAAATTATTATTATGCATTATGTGTTTTGAAAACAAAACAGTAACACCATACCTGTGTAGGAAGTAAAATATTCATTAGCACTATATAATACATGGCAGCAAAGTTTTGTAGGTCTAGTGGCTTTGTTGTCTGAACAAAAAAAAAAAAAAATCTGAAATGTTTCAGATTTTAAATTACGTCCAAAGGGGCGTTTTTTAACATTTTGTGTGTTACCTTTCTTTATTAAATATCATGTTCCTCGCACTTAAACCATAAGATCCAGTGCAATAGCAATATCGCAAAATAGTTTTAAAACGAGCATATCTTTAGAATTTCCGATACAGAGACTCACGCGCTGGAGATAAAAATGTTTTTTCTGCACAACGTTGCCATTGCTCGCTTTGAAAATCCTTGAGTTTGTTAATCAAAAATTCGTCAAAGTTTTAAAAAATAGGAAATCGATCATAAAAAAATTTCAAATTTCAAATTTGGTCTTCCACATGCTCATATTCGTTGGAGGATTACGTTATTCAAAATTCGATGACTCTATGTACCGTTGTTTTATCACAATACGAGAAATATACATTACATTTATGCAGATTTTTCATTATTTAATTTCTTCAAATATAATGCAGGACTCTAACATTTTGTGGCAACAGTTTGAAAAGTGAACCGACATTTATGAGTCCGACGCAAAATGCCAAAACGAAACTAATAGTCCTTCGGGATTCAAATCCCTTTGGACTAATAAATGTGTGTATTCTGAAAACTACCAGATCATAGACTACAATGGAGAAAATTCGCCTCGTAAACAGTGTGTAATGTTGTCAAATCCTGAAAGAATTCAGTTCAGTGAACGATGAATGGGAATACGCAGTCTTTAGAAATGATTAACATTTATTGTCCCAAATCCATCTTTAACTACTTTTTATTATAATAACAGCATTATTAAAATGTTTCATATTTCAGTACATAGTCTAAATATATAAATTTTGGAAATAGATTTACACCAATAAGGGATGAAGAACTAAAACGAAAATAAAACGCAACAACATTAAAAATAAAGTTCATACAGCCCACACTTCATGGAATCCATAAAGTCAGCTCAAATACACACAAGATACACAATATACACAAGAATACGCACCAAGTGTGCTACCGTTATACCACAAAGGCATGCAGAAAGGAGGTAGAAAATACTTAATAATATGATCTAGGCCAAGGAATGGGAATATAAACTCTGTACGGTAATTCTCAGCAGCTAGTTCGTGTCTTGTAGTCAGTCTTTCAGCAGCTAGCCCCCTATCGTACTGCCATGTGACCCAGCATACCCTTTTATCCAATCAATTTTGATAGGAGTTCTTTTGCTGTTTCGTAATAAATGTTGAATCTTGTAATGGTGATATATATGAACAGTTTGAAGTCGCAAAAATTGCTGACATACTATCCTGGTAGATATTTGAATGAACAGTATTAGTATTAACACTATAGATACCTTCTCATTGATACTTAATTGAATCGGCCACCAGCTGAACTAAGGCGCAACTCACATTATCATTTAATTCTAGAGATATCGGTATCGATTTCAGGCATTCTATTGCGATAAGACATAGGTTCGGTTCAGATTCTGTTTCTTTATTTACTCACTTTTAAACATTTCTTTAAGTGCCGGATGAATGTTCTTGAAGTTGTTGTATTTTCATAACAAATATTTTTTTCTGCATAGCTTACTTACCTTGAATTGTACAGTCATAGGAATGGCTTCATGTCGTATTTGGCTATGAAATTGAAATAATTTTGAGAGCCCGGTCGCTGCAACAGTTGAAGTAGTCCAGTGAAATCGTGATAAGGGTAAATGGGCGCTGATTGCATAGTAAATGTTAGTAGATGTTTAATTCTTCGGTTTTGTATAGAAAGTGCCCAGATAGCAGTTTCGTAACTGTCTTTTCCATCAGAGTGCTATTGTGCTTCTATTTGTGTGAATAAACTTTTTGAAATCTTTTCATATGTAATTTTAGTAACATTTCTCTATGTGATATCAAACTGACCGTTTCATCCCATATTGTGCTTAAATATGGAACAAATTTTTCCATACTTTTTGGAACAAATTGTATCAATTAATTTAATAACAGTACTTCAATGATTTTCCATTTGTTCTAGAGTTACCTTTAAGAATCAAAGCTATATCATCCGCGTACACTATCACAGTTCATTGTTTATGCAATCAGTTGATAAAATTCTGTTAAAAGGTATATTCCATAATACAGGACCATCACAAGCTCTTAGAAGATAGCCAGTTTTTCTTTCTTAGTCTTCCATTATTATGAATGATAATAACGGAAAAATTCCTGGATCTACTTCTTGATAGCTTCAGCAAAATTTAAGCGATAATGTGCTTTCCTGGATCTACTTCCTGATTGCTTCAGGAAAATTGAAAGGATAATGTGCTGCTTTAAGTTCTTTTATTATTGCTGACCACCAAAGCGTATCAAAAGCGTTTTTAATATTTAGGCTTAACAAAGCTATGTAGATTCCTGCTTTTCTATTTTTATCAGCTTCTTCTATTAATCGTATATCGCGAAATCCATACTGACGGTTTTTTAAAACAAGCTTCTATTACTATATCATTTGATCCCAATGATGATAAATTTTTTATATATTTTGATTAAAGCAGAAAGAAGACAGTTCGAAGAAAAGACTGAGGATGTACAAGCTCTTTATGAATTTTTCTTTAAGAAACATAGCTTGAGCTATTTTAAAGTTTTAGGAAATATTTTATTTTGTAAGAATTTATTGAAATATTTAAAGAAAAATTCAAAATGTGCTTTAAAGGCTATTATAATTATATTGTAATCTAAGCCATCTGATGCTCTGGCTTTCTTTTTAGGAAGATGATTAAACGCCTGTTTAATTTCATGTCTAGTAAAGGGAAGATCATTCTTAGCACTGTATTCAATAGAATCTGAGCGTGTTTTCATTTGCTGTGTCTGCAGCAGATATGTCATCTGAGAAAATGGTAAAACTTCAATAAGTATATCAGAAATGGAATTCGCTGTTATTTTGAAATTTGTTGCAATATCAGAGGTACGCTGATGCAATTCTGGGAGTGAAACAGTTTTTCCGTAGCTATTTTATGAAACATACCATACCACATGCATTAAGACTTTCGGTGCAAAACCTTTTCCACCTGTTAAATTTCGCTGACAATTTGTTTTTGTATAAAGTGCTCTTCCTTCTTTAAACTTGGATAAAAGATTTCGTTTTCCATTTGTAAGGCATTTTTTCTCTTTTTTTTTTTTTTTTGCATGTGTCTTCGTGGTGTAACTGGGTAGCACGTGCGACTCGTAAATAAGAGGTCCGGAGTTCCAATTCCGGCTAGGGCATCGCGGATTTCTTTGATTTTCTTGCTTCGAAATACTGTAAAAGACTCCACAAATGACGCCCGTACTAAACGTGATGAACGCTTACGCATCCCCGTCAAGATATGGCAGTTATATTCCTTAATCGCCAGTCACCCTTGTTTCGAGAAATTAGGGGGTAAAGTGTAATTTTACTAACTCGAAAATTTCTGAGGATACATGTGATATGTGGGTTCCATGAAAGATTTTTATTGAGAATCACAAGAAAGTTTAATCTGATTGGGACCAAAATCGGTGGCTGTAATGTACATGTATTGAAAATGAAAAGTATGATAGGAAGAGTAGGATAGGAATTGAATGTTTTATTTAGAAAATGCAAATAAAAGAGCCAAAAAAAATCTATAACGCATTTGTCCACCTCTGGGCCCTGATGAACCTGTTATTGGGCAGGATATTAACTAGTAAAATTGGCGGATGTCCTCCTGCAATATTCCTTGCCATCCATGTTCCAACTAACAAGTTAGATCGGTGCGATCTAGGGATATTCCTACTCATCAAAAGAGACAAAATGTGCTTTATTGGGGAGAGATCTGGCGATAGCGTCGGCCAAGGATGTGTTAGAGAAGAATGGAAACAAGCAGTCGGAAGACGTCCTGCGTCCGGGCAGCATATAAGCATTCTGTACCGCACATAGGAGAAAATCCTTTCTCGCGACTGGATGTGGCTTCCGATGACATTATTTCCTCTACGCTCAGGAATGCTTTGACTTTGCTTTGGTTCGACACCTCCATACCGTTTATTTACATTTTGATAGCAGTACTAAATGATTATTACTTGCGTTGTATTTTTGTTGCTATGAGATTACACTTCTTACAACACTGTAGTGTGGTGAATTTAATATAAAAAACGTAGCGATTTTTTTCCCTAGAGAGAAAAAAGTATTATTTCTTCTTGTGCTAACTCCGTAAATGTGCAGTGTCGTAACAGCCCTAATGGGCCATGGCCTGCAGTGCCCGAAATTTGTTTTTCTTGACCGTGGGCCCCGGGGTGCATAAGCATATGCCCTGAACAAGTGGTCAGCTTGGGTCGCAGGACGCCCAGTGTTTAGACCCCAAGCGAACTTGGTACTCATTTTATCGACCCAAGTGATGGAAATCAAGGGATGAAAGGCTGAGTCGACCTTGCCCAGCCCGGGAATCGAACCTTCGGACCTGTGGTGCTTTTCTTATACACGTGTATTAAATTCAGCGACAGTACTAAATTCACTTTCTTTCATTTAAAACAACAAAATATTAGAATGACATGGACATTAACATGGAAATAATATAACATTTGCAAAGGAAATATTTTCAGCAAAGTGAAAGAATCAGAATGAAACAAAATTGCAATAATAATAATATACTTACTAGCATACAGGTACCTTTACATTTGGATCGAGATCATCGTGCTTTGGTTTTAGTACTAAATTAATGAACTCATCTATTTATATAATCTAAGCGCTTAAGATTGCTTCTGATATTAGCAGCATCCTTGAAAATTTTCATAGTTTTATTATTCCACGAAACAAGAAGCCATCTGCAGAACGCTGCAGCTATGTGTTTCCGTTTCAAAAAAGGCAAACGTTAATTTTCTCGCTTTCGTGTCACTCATGAGCGTCATTCAAGGAAAACAAAAACGTAAGAATCCCGCCTAAACGTCATTCCACCAAGAGATAATGATGTCATCTGAAAGTATGTCCAATCAAAAGCATGGATTTTCTCCTATGCGCGTGGCGCGATACAGAATGCATTTATGCTTCCGAATAATATCCTTTTGAAATGTAAAACAAGGTATAGGCCAAAGGAAGGGCAATACAACGCGACGTAGAATCTCATCGACTTATCGCTGGTGTGTGAGGGCCCACGGATGGCAGCCAAAGGGGGTGCAATGAAAGGTAGTGGCACCCCTTACCATAACTCCTATTTGCAGAGCTATGCAGAGGCCTACAGCAAGGTGAGTATCACTTCGCTGTCAGACACATCTTTGGTGGTCAACTGGGAATTACTGCTAAAAACAGTTCTACTTCAGCTCGTGAAATTCGAGGTCGAAAGCACCCTCCACCACTGCAGATGTGCCTGGCTGTGTGCAAAGGTGAGGTTTAGTCGACTCAATAGCCTTCCTGACCTCAGCCACGTTTCCTGAGTCGCCTATGGATGGTTAGTGCAGCCACTGGTGTCCCGGTTGCATTTCGGAGCATTGATAAGGACGCATCAAGTGCTGTGAGCGCAGAGTGGACGATCACTCTATCCTAACGTTTCTTCGCCGCTGTCGGTCGACTGCTACTTTCTTGAAGCTCAGGTGTAGAGATCCTGCGATTTGACCACTGTACGTTCTTTAGCCCAATTGCATGTCTTCTCTCAAATGGTGACATCTGCTCATACTTTTCTAAATCATACGCAAGGCATTTATGAAAGAACGGTGAAAGAACATTCGCATGGAAGTTATGTCTTAGCAGTGGAATGTCCTTTGTTTTATACACCATCCGGATTCTCCCTACAGTCGTTTATTATACTGGCATGGATCTGTACTCTGACAGTCTCAGCACAGGAAGATAAAAACAAAGAATTTGTCGGCTCCAGGACCATTGTGGAAGGTTGTGGCTCCAGGAACGTTGTGGTGAGGCCCGATACTCTCGGCAACAAGTGGCCCATGGTAGTCACTCAATGTAAATCCTCAGTGCGAGGTAGCCCGTGTAGTGCTGACGAGTCAAATATCAAGATGACGAGTCAGATATCCAGATTCATTGGAAAACCTTCAATCTCGTGATCCCTGCTTGAGTGAGCCCCAGGGTGACTGTTCAGCGAGCAGCAGTGAGATAAACCTTTTAAAGTTCTTCGCTCCGGATTGGGGCCTCTGTCCATAATGTGAACTCTTTAGCTTCTTTCTCAGGGATTGCCTTTGACGGATTCCTGCTCCCGCTTTGTAAGTAGGCTGGTTCTTATAATGCAGTGTGAAGTTAGCAAGTAAATAAAAGTGACACCAACCGGATGCGCCTTTGCAATGCGTTGGAGCCATAGCAAGTCAGTCACTGGCGGTCAAAATGAATCATTTGCATATTCTATCGTAAGATATAGGCATTTTGTCCCGTTTGGATAACTCCTTCTTGGTGCTTCGATTTTTATGTTATATCGTTTATTTGCCATCTTCAGTTGTTGTGGCTAGGTCATGAATAATAATACAAAAATCTGTACGTCAGGATCAAAATCTTGGGACACATTTCGAATATCAAGAGATATTTCTGAGTCAGTTTTGATTAGATTGGTTCACTTGAAGGACTTTTACTCATTTTATGATGTCAGGAATACTTTTAATATGAAATTAGCACATCGTAGTTAGCAGTCATTACAACGCAAAATAAAAGTAAAGCGCAGAAGGAAAATTCTCAAAAATGTTGACGTATTTTCCACGTTCGGCTTAATCCATGTTGACGCAATTAATTAAATATTAATATATGCGTCACTACAATTGTTGCGCAATGCTTTAAGAGTTTACAATCCCTAAGTTTACAATGCAGTTAAAAATCCCAAAAGGCTGAGAAATATTACTTAAGATACACAAAAATTTGTCCAGATTCGAAGAGTGTAAAATAAAAATCAATAAACGTTAAGTCTCCCCATGTTGCACCAGCAATTTTTTTCGAATATTTTAATCTTACAGCTGCGAAGATGTCACACGCACATTCTGTTTCCAACGGGGAAGCAACAAAGATTGGCATATTGTCAAGGCGAAGAATTTACTAAAATTGTTAATTTACCTAGTATGGTTACTTGATTATGTCAAAATACACAAGGACTATCTACTTGTAATAAAAGAGGTCTGAAAGGATATTATTAAAGAATTTAAAAAAAAAAAACATTTTTTAAAATACAGAGATAAAACAAAGTTTATTACAGACAGAAATGCTTGAGCTTTAAGAATGGTGTATATCTTCGTGGCCCGGTTTTCATGGCTGTGGTTTGCTGGTCTGAGAAATAAATAGTCACATCAGTATGCTTATTTAATATTTGAATTTTTACGACTGGTCAGAGATAAATATGATAAATAAATTAGATCTCACATCCTTAAGTAAGGATTTAGGAAACTGTAAGCTAAATATTACTCTTTACTGCCGAGGATGCTTAACTAAGCATGTTTGATGGATGAATAACTTAAAATTAATCGAATGGATTGTCTATTAAACCACAATTAAATCTTAATGAACATGTCTGGGATATTTTAGGATGGCAATATGCAACGCCTATCTGGAATCTACAGAAACTCATCTTCACTTTTCTATAAGAATGGTTTTAAATACTACTTAATTTAATTTGTAATCCAATAAATTCCATGGAAAGATACTGCGATTCTTGTTTATTGTATTAAGATTACATCTAACCATACTGTTTTTTTACAATTTAAAGATGTGGAAGGATTTGTCTTTCCTGTAAACTTGTGAATATTTCTTTTAAAGGATTCTATTTTAAAATGCAACTAAATAGCAAAATATGACTATTAATCTTCGCAAATTCTGCATACGCATTTAGGGCTAGATATTAAACGAATGAATATAGCTGGGATGAAAGTAAATAAGAAGACGAAAAGAATAACGAAATTAAAAACTGTTGAATTAAATAATAATAACAAAGTGAGTATCCAGTATTTAAAATTTTGTTGAAGAATACAATATGCATTACCTTTCATTTCAGTGAGTAAAATGCAACTTTATGATATTATGGCCAAGGATTTCTTATTTCAAATAATACTCAATATGCTGCAGGCTGTTGATCCTTTCTTCTTCCTCAGGTGAGTGTTGTTCGGACTTCTCTATAAAATTCACAAGTACAATTTTTAAAATATTTAATTAATTTAAATTTATCTCAAGTCGTCATTCTGAAAATAATTATTTAAAATTTTACATGCTTTTCTTACGGATTATTTAAAATTAATCTTTAAATATATTTATAAAAAATCTTCACGTTACAGCATCGTAAAAAAATTTTACTTCTGTATTGAATTGCTAACTAAAAAAGAGGAATTTAACTATAACAGATGTAATTTTATTACTGCATATCTGAGCGCTTATGAATTTCTAATTATTTAACATTAGATTTTTACGGCTGACAAACACTGAAAATTGCGAGCAACTTTACAGAGCTGTAAACTTATTATTTGGATTTTTTTAAAGGGAAATAGTTTTTCTTTGAAAATTCATCATTTTATTGTTGGTTCTTTAAATGAACTCGTGATTGAATATACACAGTAAAATGTAAGTTAGAAACATATTATTTATATTGTTGCAATTCTTTGAGCACTGCTCTAGAAATTCGACAAAATGTCTAAAATTCAAAATCTCAAACGACGTGTAGCTGTATAATGTACTTTCACCATACTTCTCACTCTGAGATACGAGAAAGCTCGAATATTTCTCAGCTCCGATTTGTCCCCAATAATAAGAGATTTATGTCTTTTCTTATTTGAACTTTATTTAATTATTTGACGCAAAAATATTTTGTCACCGGTTTCATCTTTCATATTTTTCACGTTTTCATGTTATTAGCGGTAGTATTTTCGTGATAAGATTATTAAATTTCTGTCTGGAAATTTTTAAGAGTGTCATTAATCCCCTTTTTTGAGCAAATGATGAAATAAAGGTTTCTTGTCCTAACTTTGTAATAACGTACTTGAATGGATTGGCTAATTCGTTAATAATTAACTAGTTCTTATTCATTGCTTTAGGAAATCATCGCTGCTGAGAGTTCAACGGAAATAAAGAGCAATAAGATAAATTTTGTGTTCATTGTAACACCTAATGTAAATAAGCATAGAAATTCCGATTCAGTATTGGAAGTTACTGACGGTAGAATGATATAGTCCCGGTTTTGAAAATAGGACATAATAACTTCAGACTGTAGAAAAAACACTGTGTCAGCGGAATAATACATATATCAGTGGATTGCGAATTAAAAGAAATAAATATGCCTAATTTACACAAAGATGAAAGCGAGCAAATGCTTACGATACTACATGTTGACCGAGAAGTGAAAAGAATTTACAAGAGGAAACTAGACGAGTAAACTGCAGAGGAGAAACAAATAATTAGGAATTTGTTTCTCCTCTGCAGTTTCATAAAATTAGTTAAAACAGCAACCTTGTGTTTTGCACAGATCTTAGTTACAACTCTACGGATTTTGAGGGCGAACAGGTACAGAGCCCTCTTCGTCTGATTTTATTGTGCAGCTAACAAACAGGGAGTTGTACTTGTTCGCCTTCGAGTTCAATAGCATTTTTATTGGACGCCAAACACAAGGTTATTATTTTGCTTAATTTTAGGAATTAAGTGTTTAAAAGGAATAGTCTGTTTGGAAAACCATTGTAGCATCGGTGTGCAGATCTTGATTCCAGACCAGTAATCTTAAGCCTCATTAAGAATCAAATCATTATTCTTTCAGTCAATAATTTCCTGCTCGTTGCGAGTTATGAAGAATTAATATATTTTCTTTAAAAGCAAAATTAAATAATCAGATCAAGATTAAGTCAACGTTTACTAAAGAGACGGATGTAAAAACGTAGGCCGCTGCACTTGAGAAGTATTCTGCACCAATTAAAAAGTTAGCAAACGTCGCAACTGACAACGCTGCAGCTATTAGACATTCTATTAAATGACTTTTAGCAATTTTAATTATCGGGGAATTGTATTTCACTTTTATCCATGTCCATTGCATTTTTCAGTGGGAATATCTAGTAGCTAAATGTTTTAAAAATGATCATATTATGGTGGTAATTTTAAAATCTGTTAACTACATAAGCTCAAGCACCAGATCCTCATTGACAACAAGGCTTTCATACAAGAGATAAAAAATAAGCTACCAGGTGATGTGTCATGGTTTTGTTTCATAAGGTGGCTCAGTAAGCAATATAATAACAAAATTCTTTAATTTACTAGAACCAATCAAATAATTTATCATCGAAGGGAAATGTTTTCCTTGAATTTGAAGAAGCCAACTGGTTAATAGATATACCATTTTTCACAGATGTAGTGAAACACTTACAATCATTAAATTTATCGTTGCAAAGATATGGCAAACTAGTTCAGCACAGTCGCCTCCATAAAAAGTTAACTCCTTCGACAAAAAGAGAATTCTAATAGCTTGAATCACTTCCCTTGCATTACTAAAATATTGGAAACTTTACCTGGGTACGAAAACATAGCTTTAGAGTATGCATGCAAGCTGCACAGACTTGCAGATTATATCACTGATAGGTTTAGTGATTCAAGAGTACTTTATATTTTCAGAAAACCATTTTCTAGTTGACATTTTGAAAAATGGCTGCTCTGTTTCACCTCCATTTTGTGCAGATATGCAGCTGTATAATTAAAGCTACTTAGGAAGATGAAAGGCTGAAACAAGCAAAACAAAACGGTCATTCAAGTACTGAGATTTGAAAACAGATTTAGGAACAAAAATATCATAAAACGAAAAAGTGTGCGCTAAGATTAATCCCAGTATTTCCTGTTTTTGTGTCTTTATATGTATTTGTGTCTTTATATACTTAAATTTATAAAAATAAGCATACAAAGAAACAAATGCAATTATTTTTTGTGTCTTTGTCTGTTTTAGTTTACCAGCATTTAACTGAGCTTATGAGATTAAGACAACAACCAGACTTTTGGCAGTTAGTTGCCAAGATCGACAGCATCAAAGCATCCACAAGAAAATCTCACTTTTACAGACTTTCTCCACAAAATTGATTGAAGGAATCAGAATAATATTTTTGCTTTTTTCTATTCTTATATTTTTGAATAAGCTTGTAGCGTTGCGCGCCTCCAACTTGCACGCAACCAAGAGGTGACTGTTGAAACTGGATAAAAGACAGAGTCTTGTTAAGGGTTTAAGTCCCTTTTTATTCAACGTAATAAATTACAAGTGCGTGCTCTTGACGCTCACAAACTACGCCAACTCGGGGGTCAAATAAAAATAATAACCTGAAAAGAAACTAAAGACAAGACTCTAACTACGAGGCTCTCTAAAATTAACTAACCTCACCGCGTTTTACAATACCGCTGCTAATTCAGCAAACTTTGAAGATCACGTTGAACGATTAACAATACTTCCAGGCAAGCACACAGGCCGAAACGCGGGGTTCTTCAATTTCTGGCTAACTACCTCCGCGCTCGTGAAGTAAGAACAGCACACCTCGAACTCGTTTCCTTTCTATTTAACTCAGAATACTTCCGCTGATAATTTGAATCCTTGCGCGTTCTACTAAATTTACATACTCTGGCATTGGCAGTTCCAGGGGAAAGTAAGGCTTGACAGGAAAGGTAGTGTAAACTTAAAATAAATATAAACCCTTATAATATTATAAGGTTATTAAATTTCTTAATTAACGGAAAGTTAAAATAAATACGTTTGGACATAAATCGGTTTAAGTTCACTAATAACTCCATAAAAAGAAATGAAACAAATTAATTACTTCCTTTTGGACATTGAACAGTTTTAGTTTACCATAGTTCATAGTTTTGCATAAGAGCCTGCTAAAGACGCACCTAGTATATACGATAGCTATCCCTAGTATATACGATAATTGAAATTTTACACTCCATATTCTTGCTTATTTCTATGAGAGATACACTCAATAAACATTTTCAAATTTAAAATTTCAAACATTTAAGCCATTTTGGAATTGCACACTCCTCGGGGGAAAAATTGTGAAATTAAGGTAACTCTAAAGCATATTCATTAAATATGTAATATTTTTAGACTGATTATGTATTCATCTTATACGTAATATTTTTCTAACATTCATTATCTGCTGTTTATCTTCAACAGTGGTTTCCTACTCTGCTATTGGGTGACAATTAGTGTTCGAGATAAGAAGAAACCGTTTAATATACCATATTTAATTATTCGCAGACTCTTCAGGTAAGGAATGCAATATATTCAGTAGATAAACAGTAAATATGTAACATTCACATAGATATGAGCGTGTGTATATATGTACATGAAATAATGATATAAATCTATAGAATTCAAAATTTTATATTTGCATTATAACTGAAAACAAGCGTCAAGTGAAGTCTACGTGCTCAGCTTCATTTGCAAAAAATTCGAAATAAGATGGACATATTTCTAACAACGAAAATCCAAGGAAAAAATAAATATGTGTTGTATCGCCTCGCTGTTTAACTTAAATAAATAAACGGAAAATAAACGGAAAAAATCGCAGGTGTTTCCCATGACCATTGAAAGAAAAATGGCAAATCTTTAGTTAAAAGCAATAACACGGAAACTCCCAGAGTTAACTAGTATAAGTTAGAAATGTTTAAATATTTCTGCAGTTTCGTATAAGAATTTGCAATGGTTTATTATTTAACTTCATCACCTTTGATAAATAATGATAACATCTCCTATAAAAATTGCTTAATAACATATTTCATCTTTACAGGTTATTGCCGGCTTATTATTTTGTCTTCACTTTTGCATTTCTAATGAGAGACTTAGGTTCTGGACCTTTCTACCACAAGACACTGGACAGGCATATGGGAGGTTGTGATAAATATTGGTGGACAAACCTTTTGTTTATAAACAACTTTTACAAATACGATAATTTGGTTAGACTCTTTATCATTATTTAATAAGTAAATTATATTTACTTTTTTTTCATAAAAATCTTGATTAACTATAAATGAGTGATACATACCATTTTAATGCAGTTATAAACATAATTTTATTTGCATGTAAATTTGTCAACTGAACTGTGAGAATATATATGTGTATGATTGCAATAACTTACTAAAAACATTTACTGCACTAACTTTAAATTTGTTGTAATAGGTGGATAATATTGCATAAAACTGAAACATTTTATTACATGTCATTCATGCAGCAGAGAAAGCTGGTTGCTTTTAACATAACTGCGATTATATTCCCTAAATTGAACCCGTCTCTATTGATATAATCCCCTATTGAATTCCGAAATGTTTCAGAATATAAATTGTATAGCTTATGTGCTTTGCTCATTTAAAGTTAAAATGCCATTTAAGTTAGTAATTCACACAATAAAATATAATAAATTATACAAATTAGCAGCATTGACAAGAACGTAAGCTTAAATAAAAAACTGTGTACATTGTATGCAGATTATCGTTAGAATAATGTTCCCTTTCTATATATTAGTGTTTATCAAAAATGTGACTTACAGAAATAGTAGAGAGAAAATAATCCGTAAAGAAATTTCCTCGTCCGCTATAACTCTGATACGAAGTAAAAAATTTCTGTTTTCCGTACACTTAATCTCTAATCACTTATGTAAAGAGCTGATTAGATTTTGTGTAATACTGGACAACAGGAAGTGTTTTGTTACTTTACTTGAAGTAAATAACAATTTTTACGGAAAAACTGTATTAAAATATAATTCGAAACTTTAAATTTTAGTATTTAAGACTTTTATATCGACGGGAACAACATATTAGATTTGGGCTCAAATTTATTAAATAAAAGTGATACTTTACTTGAGCTCTCAGCAGACCTTCCTAATAAATATAATATGAGATAAAAAAAATTTCAAATTTTCTCATTTAAAATACGTATGCGATTCCAAACAATATTCTGCATTTATAAAAATTAAATTTATTCTTGGATTAAGATAAATGCAACGAGAATAAGTTCATTATGAAGACTAGCTCTTGTTATAAAAAAGGTGAATGCATTAGCATCATTCGTCAGTGTGTTTGTTTCATTTTTTTGTACAATAACGTTTCAAAGAAACGGAACAAAGTGAGTAAATTATGCATTATTTTCAAAGAAATAATATAGTAAACATAAACAGTATAGCGAATATAAAAAGAAACACATGATAATACTTAATACTCTATTGGAAATTCTAAAGATATGCTGCTGTAAACAAAACTGGAATTCTTAAGTTATTGATTTATAAAATACTATATGACCAGAGGATATACTAAGATCGATGCAATATTTTTTAATCAAAGTAAACAGATGTGTACATGAGCAAGTATAGTTATCGTTGTTTATTGTATGGAAGAACAGAATTTCAAAAAAGGAGTAGTATTTATAATTAGCATTCAACTATACAGCTTATAAACAAATTAGATTTTATTTACAAACGAGCAGCCAGCCGGAAGTGATAGTTTACTTGAAGCTCCCTGTTATTCCGCCAGTTCTAAGATTTAACTTGGAATTGGCAGAAGTTCATGTACTGGTCACATCAGTTTTCTTAATTTACTTTGTAATAATTATGTTACTTTTATTAATTTTAAGGAATTTTTCAGGAAAGGAACCTTAATTTAAAATTTCTGCCAAATTCTTAACTTACTACTTCCGGCCAGAACGTAGTTTTAGAATCTTTTTGAGTACTTAATGAGGAGCAGCGGTATTTAAACCGCGAAGTTACAGAGTTAGAGAGAATCAGAGTTTCTGATTTACGCGCGGCTGCCTTTTGGCTACTCTCTCTCTCAAAGTTGCTATTACGCTCGGCCGTACTCGGGCCCTTGATAAGCTTCGTAGTCAAATAAGTTAAGGGGCCAACTCGAGTAGAATCTCGATAGCTTCGGCTATATTTCTTTAGTTAATCTTAGTGTTAGTTTAATTTTTAGTCTCTAAAGTTCAAGCCCAAGTGTCGGCTTTGATTGTACACTCCAAGATGGAGTTTTGTTAAATCTTATTGGAATATTAAAGGCTTAGTTACCCTTCCATCTTGTTGTTTCTTCTTTACGAACTTAAGTGATTATTCGCTAACTAGTTTTTAAGATTCGTGACTTTCTACAGTAACTGAGAATTACACTAGTGAGAATCTTACAACTTTACTTAAACGAAATATTTCTGGCAACACTTTTCAGAATATTTTTATGCCTTGAAAAAGATGTTCTACGTTAGACACCCTCGAAATGTTTCGTAAATCTAACACCGATTTAGCATTTAACAATAGATATTTAATATTTATTTATTAGTAATGCAATAAATTACCGTTTTTTTTTCTTTCTTTTTTGCAGTGCATGGTGCACACCTGGTACATTGCTTGCGATTTCCAACTGTTCATTTTCTCGTTATTTCTTCTTCTTGTACTTTTCAAGTAAGTAAAACTTTTCTATTTACTTTCATGCAAAAAATTCTATATCAAATCTGATTTCCCTGCTTCACATTCTTTTAGAACTCGTTTCTCTTTTATAAAAGGATGTTACCCTTCCTTTTGTTATTATATTCAGGTTTTTGAACTTAGTCTAGAGCAGGGATGACGAATGTATGATAGGTTTTTGATGGTACAACTTAAATCCACTGAAAACAACGTTTAAAAAATTTCCAAACTAAACACTATCAAAGCCAGATTCAGAAACGAGCATCAGCATACGCGTCATTATAACATTTTTCAGGACGGAAGGGTGACTGATACCTACTTCCACCATGAAAGTCTATGTAGCTGAAAGTGACTTTTTCTTGGGAAAGCACGTGAGTGGGATGAGTTGCAAAGAGAGAACTCAAACTACAGTTCAAATTATTTCACATTTTTGTAAAGAGAGAACTCAAACTAAATTGCAAATTATTGCACAGTTTCGGTTTCGTGAATATGAAGGTGGTATGCAACAAATTTGATGTTTCGAAATGTAGCGGAACGATTTTTTGCGAATGAGACCACCTATGAAAGCTATCGATTCACTTATTAATTCAGAAAATTTGATTTTACTAAATATAACGATTTGAAAAAGTGACGAGGTAAAGATGCCATAAAAAAAACTGAATTGGGCAAAGAACTTTGGAGTAATAGAAAAAACAAGTTACGGAGCACATGCAACAAGTTCTGTGTTACTTGTGCTCCGTAACGTTAGTATCTCGCACATTTATCGCAAAGCGTCATTTCGAGACCATAAAAATGTTTCTCCATGCAAAATGAAGAAATTTCATTGTACGAAAGTAAATCAATGTGCAAAACAAATAAGTTGTTTTGTATCTTTTTTTCAACCAAAAAAATAATAACACTGAAGCGAGTTTCCGTTTGTCTCACTGCGTAACACAGCATGGGAAACCACTTGCTGATGGTAAGTTTCTGGAGACAGCTTTCGTAGTCAAATTCGACAAATTATTTGAAGATTTTCCCAACAAGCAGCAAATAATCAATAGAATTAAAGAACTGCCTGCCAGCGGGAATACTGTGAAGAACAGAATAATAAAAGTGAGTGAGGATGTTTTAAAGCAAATAAAGTCTAATTAATAGAAGGTCGAGATGTTTTCAGCATGCCTTGATGAAAGAACAGATTTGACTTTACGAACAAGGATTTGTGGAAATGTAATGAGACAGAAATTAGTTGCATTGCTGAGTTTACCAACCATGATCATAAGTAAAGATATAAATAAACAAAGCAAGAACTTGCAGTATAAATGGGGTTTGACTTTAAATTGTGTCTGTAACAACGAACTGATGGTGCCCCAAATATCGTAGGATTAAATAATGGGTTTGTAAATTTTCTGATTGAAGACGTTTAACACTGGGCATTTTCATTGCGCTTTGCATCAACAAGCTCTATGCCCAAAAGCTAGTATGAAGTCATTTTAAACTATTCTGATATAATAACAAAAAATTGTGAATTTCATATTTTCTTATGTACAATAACGTTCGTTGACTGAGTCATGGGCAAGTTCTTCACAGATTTATAGAGCTTTTGGATGAAACTCGATTTTTATAACAGTAAACAAAACAAGAATTTCCAGAGCTCATGGATTCTATTTGGCTTTGGGATTTAATGTTTTCACACATCTTTACAATATAATGATATAAATAAGGCTTTTAAGAAAAGAACAAACTGCAAATAAATTGTTTGAGATCATATGATCCTTAGAGCGAAAACTTTACGTATTCTTTTAAGCTATTTAAACTAAGAAGTTAAAATATTTCCCTTCTCTTAAAAGACTTTTAGAACTGATGTCGAGTTTTGACGATAAATTATCTTTCGAAGGCAGAGAATATAGTTAATAGCTATTTGGATATTTTACAAAATTCAAAGGAAATAGCATCAGCACAATTTTGTCAATTTCAAAATTTGGAGAAAACATTGCAGTTTATTTGAAGACCTTACTTTACTTTGAAGACTACTTACTTTGGATGATAAATTAGCGACATTTTTTGAGTAGTTGGATATTGAGAATTTGGAATGGAATCGACAGAATTTCATAAAATTCTACGTGGATGAACGAATTTGTCAAACGTGGTGAGGCATTAGAGAAATGGGATTGCGCGGATTCCAAATATTGCTAGTGGCAAAAGGTTCTTAAGTGTACTCATCTGACGTATCTGTCTGTTTTAGTTTACGGCTGCCATTTTGAGTTAGAATTAACATTTTCGGAGGAATATTTTTTGTCAATACATTGACAAATATGTATTTCCATGGGTTAACATTGAATTTATTCCTTCTTCTTAACATAAATGGTGGGTACCCGAATTTTAGATACGAGGCTCTGCTTCAATTGAATAAAATATTTACTTTCCATTTTGGTGACTTCGAAATATTTTGATTCTGAAAAATAAACAAGATAAAAAATGCTATAAAGCACAGCTTCCGAAACACTTCTTAGAAAAATCAAAACTGCTACTGTGGTTATTTAAAAATTAATTTCTATTGCCTTTTTTAATGTATTTTTCATGTTAAGAGTCTTTTTCCATGTAATTGTATCAGAATATTTTAATGTGCATCAGTTTTCTCTGGAAAATTCAATTTATCTTCTGATTTTTTTTTCAATCTTCTGGCTTTTGGCTCTTACAAAGTTGGTAGGGATAATTTTCTTTTCGAATTTTAGACCTTGCTACTCGGAAGATATAAAGGTAAGATTTATAGAATATTAACTTGAAAGCAAGGCTTATAGACCTACAATTTACAGAAAAGCGCGACAAAATGAAAAGTGCCTTCATGGTTATTAACACTTAACGGAGGTGTTTTATAGAATATTTATGGCAAATTACTTATCTTTTGGAGAATGGAAGAATAGTGAAAAGAAAATTATTTTAATTTTCTCTTTTGATCCCAGAAATATTTCTCTTGTTTATCTTCCCTTTATTTTCATATCTTTCCACTAGACACAAGCATCAAAGCAATCAAAGAAATTGAAAATCGACAGTTAATTAAAAGACTCATATTATTCATATTATTATATTATTATATGTAAGATTATGTGTCTCAGTGCACCATACATACCTAAGTGTCTCCTCTAAATTCTAAAACTTTTGCCCTAAATTTTGTTGCTCAGCGATTCACTAAATTTTAAAAATTCCGCCACTTTGATTCCGGCGCCAGTCTTGACCTTATGTCATTTCATATTTAATTTCAATACTCATATTATTAAAAAGTAAAATCAACAGTTTAATCCATACTTTTTAAGTACAAGCAACTCTTTAGAATAACAAAAATCTTTAATTAAATCTGAAAATTCTAAGATATCTCAATTATATATTTAGGGCTGCAACCACGAGATGTCAGATGCGACGGATTTAGATTACCTAGAAGAAGGTACCGTTAGTATGACTCTGTGAATCTACATATTCCTCTGATTCTATTACCCACAAAAGTACAACATTGCTCATTTCTTCCTGTCCATGCTATAGATATTGAAGAATCGGTACAATAATAAACTGGTGTTGCAGTAACGTCTAGACCCTCAAGAATATAATTTGTTGGCTCCCAAATCCCAAGCAAGAAATTTAGAAAGAAGGATTGTCAAAGTTCGATTTGGAGTAAATCTTGATTTTGCTCCTGGGAACTGTACCGAAATTCTATTATCCTCTTCTCAGCGTAGGAAAATATCTCTCGCATATGCACTCTCACATGTAAGTCGCGTCGTAAGAAACATGTATGGATCGTTGTTTGTTACTGCCATAACCTATACATCTGCTGATCTTGAAGTTTAACAATTATTTTAGCTCATTGTGCCACTTTTGAAAGTCCTTTTCAATCTTCTCTGGAAGTCCATAGTCCCATTCTGGCTTAGTTGGCCAGGCCCTCTTAATCTTGAGCTTGGCTGGCAACAAGACTGTGATGAGAATGAGGTCGTAAATACCTTGAGTTATAGATAACACTCACCATAGTAAGATTTTCTATTTCTGTGTCAGATTTATCACAGGTCATTAAACAATCGTTTTTCTGTTCCATCTAATTCTCAAAACTGAAACTGGATTTGTAAAATCTCCTTTAAACAAATTAATTTTTTTCCTTAAATGATAGATTTTCTATTCCTTATGCAAGGCTTAATTGCCATTATTTGAAGCCCATCTTGGCTTCAGACTTAATTTCTATTGACTCTGAGATAAATTCTATTTCGAATGCACTATCTAAGAAGGTCACGCTGTTTTCGATATAGAACAACTACAGAAGTTTCTCAATAACCACTTTAGTTCATCTGAATTAGTTATCAAATAGTACCTTATAACCCTTTTTAGTAAACATGGGGTACAAGTGGCTCCAAATACCACTCTGCTATACTAATAGACTTTATTTTCTTCTACAATCTGCCAAAATAAATATCTCAGTAATAATCTATCACATTCTTTAATTTCAATTTTGAGGAAGGCTATTCTAATGTCGAATAAAAATAAAAAGAGAGTTTAAACAGCCTGAATCAATATTTCCTATATACTTGTATGAGAGATAAAAAATTAAAAACGAAATTCTACGGAATAAAAATTTCTCTCCTGGAGCCCTTAGCGCTATCTAGTAAGGGATAGAAATACTTACCTCAATTCCTAACGCATATATTTTTAAAAGGTCTTATAAATTTAGTAACTTTATTGTTTAACTTAATGAAAGCTTTCTAATCGTCTGTTAATTATTTTAGGTGGCCAAAAGTAGGAATATCACTTAGCTTTACCGTAATATTTGCAGCCATGATTTACGACGGACTTTTTAGTTACGTATATAACATGCCCAATTTCTCCCTGGCTACTCATCCCGATCCTGAGTAAGTTCTGTTTTAGTGGTAATTTCTTATGTTAGTGCTTGTTATGTTAGTGTTAATTAAGTGCCATTTTGTCCATAACACGTAAAGTTTCTTACCGCATAAACACAATGCGATGTATTAGAGTGTAAGAGAAACGTATGTCAAATGCATATACTTAATTTTGTCTAAAAATCATACAATTTACCTTTGGGAATTTGCATGTCTTGCATTAGCAACCGTAAATTTTGGTGGATTTTTAATAAGCATCGCAGAACTTTTAAATATGAAAATTGTTAATAAGCATGTAATAAACAAACAAACATGTATCAAACAAAGCAAATGTATCTGCCCTATTTTTGAAACTGATTAATAAACTGGAAAATTGACTAATAAAACATATTATAGCATTTTAAGTTCTTAATCATTAGTTATTACACGCACTGTAATGTAATATCCATGCTCTTATGCAAAGACAAAAATATTTGTTGTTCTTAGCAAATGAAAGAGAATACTATGAAGAGGAAACTTAATGTGAGTGAAAGGATATATTAGATAAAATTTAAATGTGAATTTTAAAAGTTAAATTAATATTAAAATTAATATTAAAATGAATATAAAGTTGATGGTTTGCATTATTGAAAATATAGAAACAAATATTTACATAATGTTTTAAAGTTAAGAATCCTTATTAACATGATGTATGTTTCATTGCTTTACGCTTTTAAATTGATGATGTTTATTTTTCTTTCAATATCGCTTTAAATACATTGCAGGTAGTTGCCTTGAACTAAAAAAGAATCAGCTTTGTAGACAAACTTTATTAACATTCTAAAATATGAAATATTCTTTAACAGAAAAATGGCCTGCAGCACAGTGTGGCTAAGAACGCTATTCTACAAAATTAAACATGATCAACTGTTGCCGTTCACAAAATCTCAATACTAAAATAAAACATGTTGCCAGTAACATGATTTTTGTATAAATAATAACAAACATTAACTACTGAGAAAATAAATTAGGCAAAAGAAAAAACAAACGCAAACATTAAATATACATCCAAACAGCAAGCTTTAATGCAAAGTACACTAAACGCCATTTAATGTGATCGTGGTTAATGTTATTGTTCAGATATTGTTATCGAATTACCGAAGCCCCAACCGCTTGTATAAGAAAACACGGAAAATACATCGCTTATTGTGATAAAAAAAATAGGTTAATGTTATCCAAATATTACAGGATAAATTTTTCAGACCGAAGTAAATTCTCCAAATAGGGTCAAAATAAATTTTTAAATTTGCCAATTAACTGAAAAATGTTACCAAGTATGAGATTAATTCACGAAACTGCCTGGTTTCTCTTTTAGTCAACCACTTAAAATCAGGCTATAAAGCAGCCTTTTGCTCAGTTTATCGCAGATTTTCGATAACTCTCTTGATTTTGAGAGCGATCAGATACAGATCTCTCTTCTTCAGGCAAAAGAAGATGACAGAAGATATATGCTGGTGGCTTTCAGCAACAAATCCAACAATAGTATATGAAAAATTCTGAAGAACTGAAACATATAATTTGTGAATTTTAGGTTATTTTTAGGTGTTTTTTTTAAGCAGGAGACGTGAAAAACGTGCATTGCTCTCGCCGAGACTCAAATCCTAAAGCTCTCAAGCACGCTTCGAGTATTCTTCCAATTGCACCCCGAAGGCATGCAGAAAGCATGTAGAGAATACCTTATACCCTATAAATGCCGTTATAAGCGACGCTATCCGAGTATAAGATTAGAGACATAGCATCCGTCAAGTGATTTCTAGAAACATTAGATACCGTTCATGAATTAACTTTTGCATTACGCTTGCAAATAATCCACCAGTAACGACTTTTCTCCTTGTTAACATCTGTGAAACTATGTTTTTACTAATATTTATATTAAATTAATTAAATTCTATTGCTAATTTTAAAGTTATTTTTTCATCCTTTAATATTATCAAAATAGCCGTGAACAAACATAGCACATTAAAAGGCGCCTAACTGCAGTACATAATCAAATAGTAACACTATATATTGTTACTGTATGCATCGATAAATGATGTTTATAAAAGGAATTGTTAGCAGCTAAATAATGGTTATAGTAAGAAGATTCTTGCTAAATAGTTTTAATACTCGTATATTTATTTCATCAAAATTTCGATATCACGGCGCACTTCGTCTGGTTGAAAATCCACTCATCTATAAAACATTTTAAAGCCAACTTTTTTGTCATTACAATAGTTAGATACATGTTAAAACATAATAACAAAAATCAATGAGGTGTTTGATTTAATTTAGTACTTTGATAATTATACACGAATTAAAAAACAAATTGCTATAAAACACAATATAATAATATTATATAACTTAGTAATAACAATTTCATTAAGAGTTTAATAAGCAATATGTAATGTTTAAAAAGCTCATTATAATAACACTCTTATATTTTAAAGGAATTTAATTGGGTAATAATTGGCTATAATATAAATTTTTTTTCGAACATAGTTATGTACCTTAATACAATAATAATATATACCAAATTCATAATTTTCAAATAAAACTGTTTTAAGACATAATAACACGCCCAATCATTTTCGGTTTTGCAGCTGAGGATAGTGGTTCGGTAAAACCATCGAAACTAGTCCTGTGAAAATTTTGTAAATATAACGCTGATTTTTGTTGTTTGACTTCTGAATTAGTAAAACTGTTTTGTTTGTTGACACCTTATCTTTTGTACATAAACTATGACGATTTTGGAATAATTCCGAAAACAGCCTGCACAAAACATTAGAAATTATTTATATAAGATATTAGAAATTATTTTAAAATTATTGATTTCTGTGTATGTAATAAATTCAGAATTCTTCTTGTTATGTGAAGCTTTATTTCATTCATACTTATCTTTTTTCAAACAGAAGATAACACAGAGTTAATATTACTGTTTTCCTGATCAAAACTTTTAAATTTGAAGGAAATATAAGTATATTTCTTTTGAAAGGACTAAAGCTGGCGAGAACAAAACCTGTTAATCAGAAACTTCTTGCTAATGGACCAAAATCTAATAATCTAAGGTTTAGCAAGAATCTAACTTACTTTTGAATGTGTAGTAGGCTAAAAGCCTTCTTTTTTTCATATATTCCCTTTTCATGAAATTTTGAGTTTAGGCTCAATCGTAAAGTTCAAAACTGACAGTTCTGGGCCATTCATTCAATTTCCACGGTATATGGCAACTGCACTATTACGTGGCCTTATTTTATGAAAGTATATGAGAAAAAGAAAATTAGTGTTACAGAAATTGCAACAGGCTATAAATCCGTTTGTCGCTCACTGAATAATACGGAGGTTTTTAGCTTGCTGCAAGGAATATAGTTCGTTTAACGACTACTTGCGACCTCCCATAATAAAAATATTTAAGTTATTTTAACATATATTTATGTATTGACATTTTTTTAATTAAAAAATAAATTTTGTAAAAATTGCGTAACCCAACTTTTTTATATTGCCTCTTTCCTTTTTTTACTGTAGTGAAATTTAATAAACATTTATATTTAATATAAAAAATGAAATGCAGAACACGTGACTCTAAGACAAAAATTGAGCGAGATATTTCATCTTAAACTTGAGGTTATATTTCATGAAAATTCAAGGGTCGCACACAAATTGAAGAGTGAAATATTTAATTTGTATAGAATTAAAACTTTTGTATGCGACATCAGTTTGAGAAAAATTTCTAATATTAATAGCAAAATGATTATAATGACCATCACAGAATCTACCATGAAAGTTTTGATCAATATAAAAATTTTACAGAAGATCTTATTTACAAAATTTTATAGATTTCGTATTTTCGAAAACAGTGGTAGGCTTCAAGCATTGACTATCATAGACATTTCGTAACATAATTTGTAAATCAAAAATAAAAAATAGTTCTAGTCCAATGAACTATTTGTACGACAATTATATTATGATCCTAAAGTAATAAAACTGCAATTGAGAATTTAGCATTTGAAAACTTATAAATAAATTGTGTGAAAGTACTTGAGGCATACTAGATGTATTACAACTAGGTAAATCACACAGGAATATCACTGAGTCACATTAAATAATAAAAAAAATCAACCACGAATTATTATTAATCCAAAGGGGCAGTTTGCACAGGACTATTAATTTCGCTTTGGCATTTTGCCTTGAGATATTGGTTCACTTTTCAAATTGTTGCCACCAACTATTAGAATCCTGTATTTTGTTTAAAGAAAATTAAATAATGAAAAATCCGCATAAATATATGTATGTTTCTCGCACTGTGATAAAACAACGGTACCTAGAGCCATCGAAATTTGAATAATGTACGTTTCCATCCGAATATGGGCATCTGGAAGCCCAAATTTGGAATTTGTTTTATTATCAATTTCATATTTAGTAAAACTTTAACGAATTTTTGATTAACAAACTCAAAGATTTCAAAGCGAGCAATGGCAACACTGTACGAAAAAAAAAACATTTTTATCTCCAGCGCGTGAGGCTGTGTATCGGAAGTTTTAAAGATATGCTCATTTTAAAATTATTTTGCGGTATTGCTACTGAACTGAATCTTATAGTTTAATTGAGAAGAACATGATATTTAATAAATAAAGGTAACACTCAAAACGTTAAAAACGTCCCTTTGGGCGTAATGTCAAATCCGGAAACTTTCAGATTATGTTTTTTATCACATATTTTTAATCAAACCCTCAAGAAAAACGATAATTTCACTTTCGTATTGATAAATATAAAAGAATCCGAACTTTGAAGTTAAATGTCTCGGTAAATTTTTGTCGTACAATCTTTTTGTTAATTTTTAAAATATCAGTAAATGTTTACTAATTATAATTAACTATAAGTGTAAATTAAACTTTTACTAAATGTAACTAGAATAAGAACGTAAGCTACATTTCGCAGTTTTTACAAAGTTGATTATTTTAACTAAAATTACCATTATATCAATATTTATGCCATTTATAATACTTTTCTCATCGAAAGTACATTTCTTGCAACCAACGGTTGTGAAAATGAAGGCGGTATTCGGATCTTTATAAGGACGCGCTATAAATAAACTTTCTTATCCTCTCTTAAAAACAAAAAACAAAAAACAAAACAAAAAAAAAAAAAAAAAAAAAAAACATGTGTTCAGCCTACAGCCCTCATTGCTTCAAATTAACCAGGTATTTCTTATAAAGATTATTATGTACAGTGAAGCCTCAGTTCAAAAAACCTGACTTCGCAAACAATTCGTGTCATAAACAAAAAATGCCTTAAAACGAATGATGTCTTGAGTTACGAATTATCAAGATAACAACGGATTTTCAAAACTGTTCTGAGATCACCTATGCCGCAAAATTAATTCTCAGTGACTTCTGGAAACATTCAAACAAAACAAACTTCATTTTAATGTTTTCTACTGTTTAATTCTCATTAACAGTGTTTGGCACTAAGTAATTTACATGATCATAAATTCGTCTGGAAGAATGACCAGGTACTTTTTTTTTCTCTTTGGTTCTCTATGGTATTAACTATGAGGCAAAACCATGAGCTAGGAAAGTAACAATGAAGACGTGATCAAATTACTAGAAGATAATAAAAATAAGCTCAATGAGAAAGAAATGAAAATTGTGCAAAATAGGATAAGGTACAAAGTTGCCAACGAAAATCGCCCCAGTAAAGGAGTACCAGAACGCAGCATAAATATTTTTAGAGACAAATGTTATGTCTCACTTTAAAAACCTTTTCAAATGCAAGCAACTAGAGTTCTCAATAGACAAATCTTGAATGAAACAGAGCCGAATGAGACTTAAGAAGAGTGGAGTGGTGATTAGAGACAAAGGTTAGATAAAGAAAGATGCCTATTAAAGAGTGACGTTTTTTATGAAAGAGATTTTTTTGCATCCAAACAATAACATTTTTGTCATCACTTTCCACTTAAGCTTTCACTCTCCTCATACAGCTACAATGAAATAAAATAAAATTTTTGCTAGCTTTATTCTGTTTCATACTGTAGTTACATACTTTTGTCTTAGTAATGAAGCCTCCCAGCCGAACAGTGGTTAGTGATCTAAGACGCTGAGTTGGCTTCCGACTCAGGTATAATTCCTATATCCGCACAGAACTGGTTATCAGCTCAGCAGATGTCAACCACAGCCAGTTGTTTTTGGGTTATGAATTTGTGATTAAAGTACTGGTGTAAAGTTTAAGTAAACAATCAAATTTATCCATTTTACATTAATTCCTACGCAGGAAATTGCTTTTGCTAAAGAACATTTCTTTTGACGAATTGTCTTAAAAAAAAGCTAAATTCGTAAGCTGAAATTACACTATATGCAAAACAATAAAAAGATCTTTTTTAAAACTTAGACTGAAACATTTAATGCATTTAGAAAGAAAGAGGAAGAAATGACGAGAAAAAGCCTTTTCGACCTGTAAATAATCCCTGTTATCCTGTAAATCAAGACTTGGATGAATATTCCATAGTAAGTGCAAATAATATTTTAGAGAGCTGCATAATAAAGTTGCATCTCTAAATATTTCGTTATAGTGTTAGCAGAGCTAAAAATAATTCTGCTGAAATAGATAATATAAAATTCATGTCAGATTTAATCATATTATATCATGATTCCATGCTTATAATCTTAAACGCACTTTTCTTCCTTTTTCAGAGAACATAAAGAACTTCAGCATAATATATATCTGCCCATATCGCATGCAGCCCCTTATTTCACTGGAATACTCATTGGCTATTTATTAGCTACGAAACCGGATCTAAAGATTTCTAAGGTAAGAAAGGGAATAAACATGCTTTAAAATGCAAACTTTAAGAACGCGTTCAAATTAAATTTTTATTTTGGTAAATTTCTTAATAAAATGTTCGGAAAAAATATGCATTTACAATAATAAAAGTTTAAAAACTGTGTTTCCTCTGCATGTTCGTGTCCACTAGTGACTGAATGTTTATAGTTGAATATAGCTGAATTAAGTAAGAAAACTGCTTCGCATTCTGAAGTATGCGTTGTATAACTTGGTCTGTCATCAATTTAAACGGGAGAGAGCAGCATGAATGTAAATGTATTTGAAAGTTTGACCGAAAAGTACCCTGCTATAATTAAATACTTGAATAACTACAATTATTACAATGAATGCTTTCCATAACCGTCTTTGCTTATTCGTATATGCAGGAAAAAACAAAGGAAAGAAACTTTAAAAATTCAAACTAATGAAAATAATTTAAAACACAAATTTTCAATTCATATGTTCTGTGTGACGATTCTGAATAGCTGTTTGACTGTCTTTAATTTGATGATACAGAATTCCAATAAATGCCGTCAACAGGATATATTACAACCCCCTTTAAATGTGATTTTATCGTCAGTTTGGATCATGGTTGCGAGTATTAAAAATCTCCATTGGGGGCAAAATAAGAAAAACTGTGAGTTTCATTGACAATTCTTTTTATCTTTCTGTATTTTGTTAGAGATTAAAGAAATTTTAGCTCAGAATATTTGCTTGATATGTTTGTTCTTTTAGTATATGCAAGTTAACCTGATTTTGAGAATACGGAAATTGGTTCTTACGTCTAATTTAAGTGTTTCTCCTATTATTCTAAACTACAATTATTGTACATTTAATGGCGCATTGAGAAAGAAAAGAATAATCTTGATATGCTTACGTTACAACCATTCTATTAAACCAAATTCATATTTTTAATATGTATTGCTTTGTTACAATTGCCATAAGGTTGGTACTACTGACATTACCTGCTGCCAGCTTAGTAAGAAAATACAGTGATAGCATAGAAAATGTATGATTTTTATGCGAAGTACACACACTGTTTTTCGAATACTTCTTTAATTTAATACAACTGTTGTTACAATCGTCGTCTAGTAGAATTAAAGACATTACATTTGCTGGGAAAAAATAATCATGCTTAAATTTTAAATATTTCGCTTTCCAAAGGATCACATATTTCTAAATCTTATGGCAGCATATTACATATCAAAATATTTTGCATTCATGTAACTTTATTAACTGTAATGTTACATTGAAATAGAGATTCATGGCTCACAGACTGTCCGTTCTTCCCATCTCCACCTCACTACAGTTAGTGTTCGAACCAGTAATACGCATTGACACTTTTACTCGAAGTCAAACTCTTTTACTCCAAATGGCAATTATTTTCCAATTTTAAAATAAATAAAATATATAGTCATAGTTCTGGGACTTCTCACTCTATTGAGTATATAGATATTGGACAATGAAAGTAAAATACTTAAAAAGAACAGCGCCTCCAAATTTCAAACAACGAAATCAGCACTCTAAATTTCAAGCCAATGCATGCAGCTCTGTTTGGAAGCCTGAAATAATTTCCAATTTTAAGAGCTACGAAGAACTTGAACAACTAAGAAGTCTGAAATTTCTGGAAAATGATTACCTGCTGCACTATCATGATATAAAATAGTCATTCATTTTGCTGAAAGAATGCCTAAAATGCCTTTAATGATTGAATATGACTTTTATCAGACATTTTCAAAAAGAATCCTTTAAATATTTGTCCTTATACGAGGACTAACCTCCTATTAATAATTCATTGCGCTCTAGATGCATGTGATATATCATATAATATAACATATATCTATATCATATAATATAACATAATCTATGACTAGCAATAAAATTTAAAAGCGATCCTGACTGCGACAAAGCACACTGAAATTATATGTTTAACAAAAAGAATATTTTCTTGAAGGAAACTGGTTTTTATATTTTAATTTCATTTTTCTTCTAAGCTCCTTCTTAAATTAACAATCCTGTGCACATATATGTGTAAAGTAGCACGAAAAGAGAAATGAAATGTAATCTAATATTTCAGTGCTTTCAAATTCTGGGATGGCTGATGGCAATTATGTTGACTTCATGTGTGGTATTCGGACCTCGGAAATGGCAAAGCGGAATTGAACCAACAACTGTAGAAGTCGTTGCGTATAGTGCTACTTATAAACTTGCTTTTGTCTTGGGAGTAGCCTGGACTGTAGTTTGTTGTTTTGCTGGACAAGGAGGTAAGTGCCTATAAGCTTTGACCTGTAAATTTTTTATTTAGTTGTGTAAATGCTTATTATTGAACATCTGGAGCAGAATTTTCAAATAAAATTTACTATGATTTCTACTTATATTAATGGTTTTTGAATTGCGGCTAGAATAAGAGTTGGAGTATAGAAATTTTTTGGTGATTAAATTTTAATAACATATTTTACAGGCTTCATCAATTATTTGTTATCTTTGAAAATATGGACACCCTTAGCTCGTCTTACTTTTCTCAAATATCTTATTCATCCAAATCTTCAGCTTATATACTCTGGATGGACAAAGACAGCCTTCTCGTTTGATTATTACGTATATATAAGTATGAATTCTTGTATGACTTTAATATTACATATCAGTCAAGAAAATAAAAATAGCTTATTAAATACAGGTGAGGAAAGATAGTTTAAAGGAACAAAACCTGAAAACTGATATTGAGCAGCTTCTCATTTACAGAGAAAAATTTTTTTTATGTTATATCATAGTTTATCTAATGTTTTGCACTTAAACTCTTTGGATTTAAGAATTTAAGGATCATCCTTATTCGTATTCTCAACAATAATAATAAGCCTTAAATGCACTGGTAAACACATATGCAAAATTCTAAACTACATGAAACTATGTAACAAACTGGCATGCTTTGGAACTGACAAAAGTAATGAAAGGATTCTTATCTGCCCTTTTTATATATTTATTATCTGACAAATTTGAGGGGGTGATGGAATTAAGTGCAAGAAAGTTATAACAAATTTTTAAAATGCGGGAGAAACACGTAGGTCACTTTAAATGAGTAGAGGGATGGTATCAGTTGAAGTATTTTTCGAATGGTGGTGAGAATTTTATAACTCAGTATTTGAAAATATTATACGGGATCATCACAAGAAAAATGTATTTGATTTTAAAGTGTTATTAGAAAAGGTATTTGGGAGTAGTTTAACAATTTTACTGTACACATAAAAGTTTATTTTACATATAAAAGTTCACCTTTTTGATATAGCAAATTTCAATTTGAACTGTGTATGTTGTATGGTAGGACGACCAGGAGGTTTTAGTTTTATTGTTTTGTTAATATCAGAATGGTATTCTTTTTTGCATATAGCTATTCTGGATCATTTCTGAGTAAGTTTTAACAATAACAACAAGTGATCAGTTTCAAGAGATGGTTGTGTTTCGTAAGTTAGCCCAAAATTACACTGATTAGATATAAAAGATTTATATTCTGAGTACTACAATGTACTCTTCGCTTTTTATTACGCGGTCGCCATCTTGACCTAAACTGGTTAGACATTTTCTAATTTTTTTGTGCAAAAACTGGTTTAAGATAAAGTACGGCTTAGCGATTTATAGTCAAGTCTATATTTTCAATGATCCTGTAACATAAAATCAAATTTTTCTTTTGTCGTTAGAATGACAGTCATTCATTCTGTTTCCTAAAATGTGTTAAAGCGTGATGAGTTGCGTAGATAACAAGGTTGAGAAATAATTACACGTTACAGAGTTTTTCTTGAGTTAGATTATGAATAGATGAATCACATAGAAAGAATCTCATAATACATACACTGGTGTGCAAAAATTAAAGACGAAGTCGAAAAATAAATTAGCATATCAGCTGAACGAAGAGGCAGAGCGGACAGAAAGACGAATCAGGAGATTACGTAAGGTGATGTACGGTAGCACATGCGCAGATATGCAGGTAGACGTAATGGGGGAGTGTCTGAGTAGTATAAAGCATGTTGTCGGTGTAAGATCAGTATTTCTGGCAAAGAGATTGCACGCCGTATAGCAGTTAAAATCACACCGAGTTGCTGCCTCAGCGAGAAATGGCGAATAATCAATCTGTTAGACGACATCTGGATGCTTTTACCCGAGGTCGAATCATTGGGAAGTTGGAGGAAGGCCGCAGTGTGACAAGTGTGGCTGCAGAGTTCGGAATTGCTCACAGCATCGTTTCACGACTTTGGAGACAATTTCAAACTACAGGAACAGCTATCCGGGGGTTTAGTAGTGGTCGTCCACGAGGAACCACACCCGCAGATGACCGGTATATTGCCTTACAGGCCAGAAGAAACAGGCGGCAGACAGCGGGAGAAATCGCTAGACACACAACACAGGCGACTGGACGACCGATATCGCGTGCGTTTTACCGTGGCCAGAAGACTGCACGGTGGTGGTCTGTTTGCACGACGCCCTGTACGGTGTGTACCTCTAACGCCTGCCCATCGGAGAAGGCGTTCTCTGTGTTGCCGGGAACACCGGAATTGGAGAGACAATGAATGGGGACGAGTACTCTTTACAGATGAGAGCAGATTCAGTCTGAGTAGCGATTCTCATCGCATACTCATCTGGAGAGAGCGGGGAAGCCGCAATCATCCCTCGAACATCATTGAAAGGGACAGGTATGGAGGTGGCGGTGTTCTCGTTTGGGGAGGCATCATGCTTGGTAGTCGTACAGACCTTCACATCTTCGACGCAGGTTCAGTCAACGGGACCCGTTATTGTAACGAGATTCTTCTTCTATATGTGCGTCTTTTTAGAGGCGCTATGGGTCCGCAGTTCCTTTTCATGGACGACAATGCACCATGTCATCGCACAGTAGCTGCCGAACAGCTCTTAGAGAGTGAGGATATTGAACGTATGGATTGGCCGGCACGATCTCCGGATCTCAATCCCATCGAGCATGTATGGGATTTTCTAGGCAGACGCTTGGCAGCTCGTACCTTACCACCAGTAACGATTCCGGAGCTTCGATTGGCGCTGCAAGACGAATGGGCAGCAATGCCTCAACAACTCATTGACACCCTCATTCTCAGCATGGGCAGACGCTGTGAAACCTGCCTAGCAGTCAGGGGAGATCATATCCCCTATTAAAGACCGGATGTTTCTTGCTGGACACCCATCACAGGGATGTTTCGGCCTTCAGTCGCATTGCGCTCCATGCTACTTTTTCAATAAAGCTTCTTTTTATCCCTCTGATTTCTCTTTTAGTAAGTGTTGCTTACATTACTCATGTCCTTACGTATTGGGGATCTTACGGTATTAAATGTGTTGATTTGGAAAGCTTTTGTACAAAGTTATATTGAAAAAAAAAAAACCGTCTCGTCCTTAATTTTTGCCACCAGTGTATAATTTTTTTTGGTTAATATGTATATTTACAAGTTAAAGAAATTTTTTGGGAAAGCTAATTTTGGTTTAAACAACAGCAGTTTCGAGCTCAGATATCTGGAAAAGCCTAGTGCTTGGAATAAAAAAATTCCAGTTCAATCATCAACCTGTAACGTTTCACAATATTATGTTTATTTCCTTTATAAAATAATCGGTACTCTTCCATTTTGCCAGCGCAAGCGATAAAGTCGCCAAAAATGATATAACCGATGCCAAACGGAATATCCTCGATGGTAACCTTTTACGCCTCATTTTCAAAACAAATCGCAGCCATTTCTTATCAGATTGATTATGGTTCTTTCAATACTGGCATACAATTACATAGAATTTTTACCAGATAGTTCAATTTTATGCTGTAAGGCCATTCGCGGTAAATAAGTCAGTTAGGATGCAAACACACCACTCACCCGAAGGCGAAAATATATAGAAAAGGCAAAGTCAAGGGTTAAATTCATCAATTCTAATGAGAATGTACTAGCAAAGGTAAAGCACTGCGGTTTTACATAATTTCTGAGTAATCTAGCTATTCGTACGAATTGAAATAATTCTTGCACTTAAATTGCATTCCAAATTAACGTTTAACTTGAAATTAATGTAGATAATTCCTGAGAGAATTAGATTTTTGTAGCGTAATTTACGTGAGATGAGTTCACTTGCGGTCACGTGATATAAAACGGAAAATCAGGATGTTGTACCATGAAAGCGTGGTAAATTCTTAAATTAATGTCTTTTTACAAATTTATTGTCTTTATTTATTGCCTTTTTACAAAATTTTAAACGATATTAAAATGCTTATGCCTTCAAAATAAAAATTTCTTCGAACTAACATTTGTTAACATTTTTTATGTGTATACTGTGTGTTGTCGCGAATAAAGTCTGTTTGTCGAGATTTGCGCCGGCAAAACAGAAAAGTACAAAATAATTTAGAAGTAGTCATTTTGCATACGGATACGGTTATGATAATTTTGAGAATTTTCAAAGAATTTCTCCTTTTTGGAAATTCTATGTTGCATGAAACCCAAAATTACTTCAGAATTTTTGTAAAAATTTATTTAAAATTTTTACAAACACAAAACAGCTGTTTGAAAATATTAAGGTTAATAAAATTAAATACGATCTTTGCAATGAAAAATAATCTAGTATTCAGCGAAGCACATACAAAACATTCGTAACAAAAACCAATGTCTGTTCTGCTCCGAAAACGATATTACTAGGAATGACATCCATATTTTTACGAAAAGTCTAAGTTCATTGAGATCGTAATATAGGTATCGGCGGTACTCTCACAGTGCACTGCATAACAATTTAGGCTGAAGTATTTAACAAAGTTATACTGACATACGGGTGTAAACGGTTTTGTAATCAAGTATAATTACATTCAGGCCACTTCCTTGGTTTATATAGTAAGGGAGCATACCACAAGAATAGGAAGATAATATGCTCATTTTAGATTTCAAGACCACGCTCAATGTACTTTAAAATCTTTACCTCTCATTTTAGTTATGCAGGTTGCTACCAAATCATTTTTTAATTCATACTAATTTCTTCTTAACAACTGAAATTTCTGCATCAGTATCATTCATTTATATTACGGATTGTAAATTAGAAGTTAATATTCTGCCCATATTTCTAGGTATGGATGGCGTTTGGTCATTTATGTATCAGCTTTCTCCTTGCTGTTATCGTTAATATGATGGTTGAATCACCTTTTATGGCTCTACAGAAGATGGCGCTAGGCTCATTTGAGGGTATCTCAAAGTCTTCAGCAAAGGACATAAACGTGAACAAGGACATCGATTTAAACAGTTATAAAGAGAAAATGCCTGTTAATGGAAACATTGTACTTTCTATAAATGCTTCTGAATGTACTGATATTGATAAAAAAAGTCATCATAACTAAATGTTAAAACTGGAATGCATTTAGTACACTTAACAAATGTGTTGCGTCTTTTATGGCATTTGTTTCTTTGCAATCGGACAGTTTTAAGGAAACAGAACTTTCTTGTTTATAATAAGAATGATTGTTCATAAAGGCGACAACTTTATCAACATTATAAAGTTGTCGCCTTATTTTTTATAATTTTAATTTGAAATGAATTTATTCAAATATGTGAATTTAAAAATTTTAGAATTTGATAAAAAATTTATCAGATAAAGGTAGACAGAAAAGGAAGGCTATCTGATAGCGATCCCCAAGTTTTCTTTTCTTGAAGGTTTTCTTCCTCCCCCTTTTTTAACATAATTAAATAAATAAAATTCTGTAAACAATTTGTTACAAATACTTGAATATGTGTATGTGTGTATGTATACCTAGACAAGAAACACATAAAGCGTCTTCAAAATTTTATGGCTAAGTTTATACAAAATCTGAAGGAATTTATTTAAAATTTATTTAAATGCAACGGAAAAATATGGACTCTAACCACAATCAAATCCATGAATTTATCGCGTTTTGATACTGTCAAGGCTGTTTATTTAAAAAGTTTATTGGTAGAAGTCATAAACCACAGATCATCTTAATGTAGTGGTTACCAAATTTAGAATTACTTATATTACTGAGAAATTTAATTATCTTACACAAAATTAAACTGTACCTGAACCTATACGCTATTACTATTAGCTACAAACATGGCACATCTCTTAATGCTTTCGAAGAATGGAAATATAATGTTTACCAAAGTATTAGTAGCAGTTTGTTATTAAAACGTTAACTTCAAGGAATTTAATAATTAAATCAAAACTTAAAAAAGAATCTTAAAACTTAAAAAATTATCATTACTACTGTCGACAAACCTGATAGCAATTTTAATGTAATGAAATTTTGGTTCACGATCTTAACTCGTTCCTGAAAATAGTTCTTCATCCGAAGTGTCCGTAAACTAAAACAACTTTTTTTTTTAAATAGGAATTAGTGTAAAATCTATTAGTTTGTTACCAGCCTCCAAATGATTGCTGAGAAAAGATAACTTTATACGTAAGTTCGTAATATAAAACCAACGGAATTCATAAAATCTAATACATATTTAATTTAACATATCCACTATATTCACACAATACAAAGCATACATGAAAACAGGAAAACGTATCGTAATAACATATAAAAAAGCTAAGAAAGAATTTTGCCTTAATTCGTACGAAAGAAAGTTGATGGCAGAAAATGGGTTGTAGCATTGCGCGCCTCCAACTTGCACGCAACCAAGAGGTGACTGTTGAAACTGGATAAATGACAGAGTCTTGTTAAGGGTTTAAGTCCCTTTTTATTCAACGTAATAAATTACAAGTGCGTGCTCTTGATGCTCACAAACTACGCCAACTCGGCGGTAAAATAAAAATAATAACCTGAAAAGAAACTAATGACAAGACTCTAACTACGAGGCTCTCTAAAATTAACTAACCTCACCGCGTTTTACACAATACCGCTGCTAATTCAGCAAACTTGAAGATCACTTGAACGATTAACAATTCTTCCAGGCAAGCACACAGGCCGAAACGCGGGGTTCTTCAAGTTCTGGCTAACTACTACTACCTCCGCGCTCGTGAAGTAAGAACAGCACACCTCGAACTCGTTTCCTTCTATTTAACTTAGAATACTTCCGCTGATAATTTGAATCCTTGCGCGTTCTACTAAAATTTACATACTCTGGCATTGGCAGTTCCAGGGGAAAGTAAGGCTTGACAGGAAAGATAGTTTAAACTTAAAATAAATGTTAGTTAAAATAAATATAAACCCTACATTTGCCGCTGCCAGAATTTGGAAAACTTGGAAGCAGGTCCTACAAACGACCTGTTGTAAGTTTCTATAATTCTGAACTAACTCTCGAGAACCTCGTTTACACAAAAAAAATCTTATGTAACAAATTGTATACTAAATTTCTGTTGATACTTATAACTCTCTCTTCTTACAGCAACTTTTCCTGGACTTCATCAATCAATCTTGGTCTTTTCCTTCCAGCATCTGGAAGGAATAAGTATCAGTATCTTTCTAAATACATTATAATTTACACTTTCTTGACACAATAAATTTTTGTTTTTAAACGATTCGTTTTTCCTTAGTTATTGCTTAATTCACATTCATTCATTTTTTTCAAGCATTAATTTAACTTTACCCTGGCTCTCCACCATGTGTGGTGTCAAACGGGAATATTCGTGTTTTAGTCTTACAACACTTCCCCTAACCACCATGATTTGTTAGAATTCAACGACCAAATAGACACACCTTACTCGACATTCTACAACTCGATGAGCTACTTTAACATTCTTAAAAATTCAAGTGTAGGTGGAGAACCCTACAAAACACATTCATTCTAACTTCCCCCTCATTCATCTTTAAACATGCAGGCTTTCGCTCTAAAGCATGACTTTATCTACAGTTTAATACTTAAATTTTGAATTCATTGCTTTTGAGCATTTTACTTTTAGCATCTACAATTTTATGCTTCTAGACTAAATTCTACTTTTACATAACATTCAAGTATTTACGTACATTTACAAAATTTTAATACATATGATTTTTACAATTTACCATAAAATGAATAAGAGAAAATAAATTTTTACTTTACTCATTCTTCGCCAAGCTGGCGGCACTGAAACTAAAATTCTTATTAATACAAGAATACGAAGTTATTTTTATCTTCTGCCAAATTTTGGCTTTAACATTACAGAATTAGTCTTTCGACCAGCAGAAAATGCTTGTTCTTAGCTTTTATACTTAAAGAAAATAATACTTTCGCCTTAGCTAAATAAAGTAAAACAAAACTAAGTCTCAACCGAGACATATTGACTTCCGTCAAAACATAGAACTTCGTACTTATGCATAACATTTCGGAACAAAAGAGAAAAAAAAAATATAGAAGATTTTAACTTATCTTTGAGTTTTCGATGATTGAAACTCCGTCATTTCTTTTGGCAATATTGTTCCCAAGTTATAGGTTTCATGGACGTCAATCTTCTCCTTACTGACCTCCGAATGTCGTCCACATTAGTTTTTCTTTTGCGTCCTCTGCATGCTGGCCTCTTGGCGGAGTAATCGTCTGGTTGTTGTCGTTTCCGTTTTTCCATGGGACGGCTGGTCTTGACGTCCTCCGGTCTGGAGTCCTTCTTGAATTTCTTCTGTTGTTCCTGGTATTTTTGTTCCTCCTGCTTGCCGTTTCAGTTTCCGGAACGGCGGCCTTGCTGGCACCTGACTCTCTGGCCCTGGGCGCGTTCTCCTTGATGTATAATTTCTCCTGCGATCCGTTTGTAGGTGGTGTTTTGCTCTTTACCACGGTTTTCTTTACGCGGTGCATCTGTATTCTTGTTTTTCTTAAATGCTGGAGTTTGAAAGTTTTTTATTTTTTCTTTTTGGTACCGTCGTCCGGGTTGTAGAAGGGCTAGGTCTCTCTTCAGTTCTCTGCTTCTTGGGTGGTGGAACAGTTGATGTTATCTCTGGACCTTCTACTTCGTTTAGACTTGAGTCCTGCAAGAAACTTTTAAGGATTTCAAAATCATTTGGATTATAGTATTTTTTCACCTGGTCGGGACTTGCTTTACAGATTCTCCCCTCTCTCGTTCTTAAGATATAATACGACTCCTTTGATTTCCTGAATTACATAGGGGCCTTCAAATTTTGGAGCTAGCTTTGCCGTAAAATTGTCTGGGGCACTTGATAAAGAAAATTTCCGCTTCAATACTTTATCCCCAACTTTAAAATCTGCTTCACGGCGTTTTCTATCATAATATGCTTTTTTTTTGCTTATTTCTTGCCGTATCCGAGCTTTTAAAAGCGCCTGATCAATAAGTTTTTGCACATCTTTCTGTTTAAACTCTTGCTCTCTCTCTTTGTTGCACAAAGAATAATTTATCTAAAGGCGTAATTAACTTTCTGCCTAAAAATAATTCTGCTGGGGTTTTTCCCGTAGTATCGTGATTTGCCGTTCTTAAAGCATAAGCTAATTCATTTATGTAGCCATCCCAGCGCTTGTGATGTGTGCTCACGTAACTGCGAATTATTTTTACTATGTTTTTATTAACTCTTTCTGCTATGTTTGCCTGTGGTCTATACGGAACCATTTTGATATGGCGTATGCCAAGTCCATTGCATATGTTTTCAAATATTTGACTAATGAATTGTTTTCCGTTATCGCTAATGACTTTTATCGGTGCACCGTATTTTAAAATGTATCTGTGTAAGAATGCATCTGCGACTGTTTTGGCTGACGCGCGTTTAAGTGGAACAATTTCTGTCCATTTTGAAAAATGATCTACTATTACTAAAAGAAAACGATTTTTTATTTAACTCGCTCTGGGGGAAGGGACCAAGAAGATCTATGCCTAAAATTTCATTCGGAAATGTAGCGCGAATGCTATTTAAGTACCCGGCCGGGCTGTAATTAATATCATTTATTAACTGACATTGATTGCAGGACCTGACATACGCCGTTACTATTTTGTATAATTGCGGGAAATATACCGCCTCGCGTACCCTTTTTAAAGTCTTTCTGACCCCTAAATGACCCGCTGTTTTCGCGTCGTGTAATTCCTTCCTTCAAAATGCTTAATCGAAGCGAGGCTGGGATGACTGGTTTGTACTCAAGATTTTCGTTTGTTGTTTTCGTATAAAATAATAAATTATCTATTATTTCATAGTTTTTCTGCTCTATTTCTTATCGCATCGATATCTGTGTGCTCAAAGCTTTCGGGGTCTTTCAAATATGCATAGATATTTCCAAATTCAGGATCAGCTTTCAGTTCAGTGATAATCGTATCTCTAGAATCTAAAATTTTTGAAGTCAACACAGCGCATTTAAGTTCATTTCCTTCATCGTCCAGTTTTATACGAGAAAGTGCGTCAGCTACATTGTTTTCCTTACCCGGTTTATATTTTATTCTGATATTATATTCTTGGAGTTTTAAAGCCCATCTTATTAACCTGGGCGTTAGGTTTTTCCCCGAGTAAAGTCTACCAACAGCCGCATGATCCGAAAAGACTGTTACTTACTGGCGCTTTGCCGAAATAAACTCGAAATTTGTGTACAGCCATTAATACGGCTAATGTTTCTCTTTCTGTAGCTGTATAATTCCTTTGTGTCTGATTCAACGTTTTACTAAAAAATGCCAGAGGATGGCCTATTTTGCATAAGAACCGCACCCACCGCATAGTCTGACGCATCTGCTGCAATTTCCAGGTTTTCGTCCCCCTCCGGGAATTTTAAAACAGGGGCATTGATGAGCGCTT